GTCCACTTTTACCTCAAAATTGTATTTTTTCATCTGGTTTAAATGTCTGCAGTAGAGATAAAGCATCCCAATGCTGCTCCCCACTGCAATGTAGTCTCCATTGGTATCAAGCGCTGTGAGGTATACCACAATAGAGCGAAAGCCTTTTTGGACCTTTGTTGGAATGGCATTGAGTAGATAATATAAGGGACAAAACTCCTTAAATATAACCGGTGAAGCCACAGATGCCATAGCAAGCACTGGCATCAGTAATTTTAAGGCAGAAATAAATGCATGTACTTCACAACATACGAAAATCTGAAAGACAAAACCAAAAGACAGCCCATTAACTTCTTGGAGAAAGGAAGAACAGTTAACTAAGTCATTGTTCGGCAAGTAGGAATGCAGAAATTGTCAGCTTTTGTTTTGCATAAAGAAAAAAAAAGTCAGGACAACTTACATCCCCTGGTAGAGTTTAAGAAGAACCTTGCTGTTTAGAATAAACTTGTTTTTTCAGTTCAGTCCTTGTCTAAGGATATATGGTAACCACTGAATTTGGGATAAGCTTTTTTTCTTGCAGCTATGACCTCATTAAAGTTGAGAAGAAAAACTGTACTTGAACATATTTGGGTAGTGAAAGAACCGTATGGGCTCTGCCTGACACTGAACGATCCACAGACTATTTCCTCATCCATCTAAAGACTCTAGCCTCACTCTTCCCAGAGCTAAGAGCGTGGGATGCTCACTGTGTATGAAAGCACGATAAGATCTAAGTGTCAAGCTGGTATTTATCCTCGACTCCACAACCTTTTTGCCCCCCAGCCTCAAGAAAAATATGACTGAGAAACAATTTGGTTAGGTCTGTATCTACTATATAATCAAATAATGACCAACAAATAAAAATAGCATGGGAAGAAAAGGGCAACACAAACATGAAAGAATTCCCAATCTGGCCAGTACGTGAAGGTATCCACATAGCAATGGAATTTAAAAAGATAAGGGGTGAACAGTAAAGAAACAGAAAAAAAAAAAAAAAAGTACCATATGCCTGTGTTTCCCTTTATGGGTAAGTGAATAACTTCATGCTGATGAATGTCACTGCATGCACACATATGGGAAAATTTTGTTTAAATTAGTTAAAAAGAATAAAAACAGCAGGTTTTCTTATCATGGAGTGACAGCCTTGACATGTCCGTTTTGTAGCAGTACCTATTCTCTTCGTGGATGATTTTAGAAAATGGGAATGGAAGGAAATCTTCACTTCTTAATTGTACTTTGCTGTGAGCAAACCCGATTAATGAAACAGTTTCGAATCTCCCCAAAATAGATGCAAATTTCCAAGACAAGAATCTGGATTTCTGGAAAGAAAGCTTTCTATGCTTGTTCAAGGAAGAAAACATTGAAGATTTTCTTTAGCTTCAGCAGCTATAACTACCTTAGAGAAACAAGAAACAGAAATATGCCACTTGAAGTTGGAAACACCTCTAAACGCTGAAAATTATTCTGAAAAATATTCCCACTGCAAACTGCATGCTATGTCCTATTATGCTTGTATTTCTCTAGGATAAAAATGGCATTTGTTTTGCAGCTTCACACATTGCTTACAGTGTATCTCAACTAAATCAAAAATAATACAGCTGCACTAGTTTAGTACCTCCATTACCAGGAAAAGCTCCGATGTCTCAATTTTCAAACTGTGCCACTGAATTGTGCAAGAGGATTCAGCATGCTGGCTTTGGGCCCCCCAGCGCTTGCTGTCACCAAACAATTTCATTAAATCCAAAGGGATTACTTGTGGGACATTACCCTTTCTAGCCCACATCAGACAAGACAGCAGGAATCAAGTTTGGTACCAGGGCCTATATTTGCTCTGTTACAAAAAGAGGCAGTGAACAAGCTAACAGCAGTTATCAGCTGTTCTTAATGGTGATTAAGAAAATAGAAAATAATTCCACTCTCCAGCAGTGTTTACTACCTATCAGGATGCCTATTTCATAAAATATCAACGTGTCCAAACTATTTCTGAAAGAAAAGGTTTTTACAGAGTTGTTTTCTAAGGTAACAAATACCCTAAGTCCACCATAATTCTTCTACAACATTTTCACACATCTCTTTCCTATTTTAGGACTCCTGTTCTTTCCTTTAGTGTTCACTACCTTCCATCCACGTAGTCAAATTAATAGAGAACCCATTGCTAGAGTCTTGTTTGTTGCTCTAATGCTGCTTTGCCAGTTTAGCAATTTTACTGGCTGCTGGCCTTTTTTTTTTTTAAAACACTAAAATCCAGTCTTTGTCCCAAGTCTGACACGTACAAATCTTCCTCTGTCTAAACTAAACTTCTTCCACTCCCTAGCTACTGCCTCATGAATTTCACATATTTCGCTTTTTAATTCCCCTTTGTCACTCCCACAATTCACATCTGTCATCATCCTAAGATGCTCCTGTAGCTGTGAAACCATTGCACATTCCCCAGCTGTCAAAGGGCCTCGCAGTCCTCAAAATTCATTCCCTCTCATTATCCTTCCATTATCCTCACAGCTCCATTACAACTGTTAATCCAAAGTAATTCATTACAAGCTATGGAATTACAGAAACTTCTATTATCCAGAAAAAGGGTACTCTTCTACAAAACTCTAATGACAACTTGACACATTTTTTGCAAGTCTGTGCTTAATTGAAGAAGAAAAAATGGGGGAGAGTTTGATGAGCTTCTCCTCCCCCATAGGAAAAATGGGAAGGAATTATTTTTTGTCACATACTAAATTAAATTTAAAAAATGCTGTCAGGTTAGGGTTCTCACTCATAAGATTTCTGTGTATTATTTCCATCTTCATCAGTGGGATCAACTGTGGGATCGAATAACTTTGCAGATGACCCCAATCTGAGTGGTGCAGCCGATACAGTAGGAGGGATGCCATCCAAAGAGAGCTGGGGCTGTTCAGCCTGGAGAAGAGAAGGCTCTGGGAAGACCTCGGTGCAGCTTCTCAATACTTAAAGGGGACTTATAAAAAAGTTGTAGAGCAACTTTTTACATGGGCAGATAGTGATAGGACAAGAGGAAACAGTTTTAAACTAAAAGAGAGGAGATTTAGATTAGATGTTAGGAGGAAATTCTTTGCCATGAGGATAGTGAGGCACTGGCACAGGCTGCCCAGAGAAGCTGTGGCTGCCCCATCCCTGGAGGTGCTCAAGGCCAGGCTGGATGGGGCTTTGGGCCCTGGGCTGGTGGGAGGTGTCCCTGCCCATGGCAGGGGGTGGAACTGGGTGATACTCAAGGTCCCTTTCAACCCAAGCCATTCTGTAACTCTCTGAGGAGAAAGTTGTAAAAAGCAAAATTTATTTTTGTTCTCTATAACCCATTCACCCCACACAATCAAAAATTGTATTAATGAACTGTAATTTCTTGTAATCATACAAATTAGTTTCATCTTGAGTAGTTTGCAGACTAACAAAACACTTGCACTGCTTGTATGAAAACAAAACTGAAAGCTCAAATCATCACTTTACTAAAAATACTGCTAATTAAGTAATTTTATCTGCACCAAACAAATGCATAAAGGACTAGGGAATTGCAATGTAGCCCTATACATTCAAACACCGTGCAAATGCAATGATTCTCCGCTGATTGAGCCTAAAACCTCCAACATCTTGAGTTATACATCACATACAGCTTCTATTTGTTGATAGCACTGAGATTATATTTTATCAGTTTTTCTCATTTTGTTATTAGAGGCAAAACTATTTTCACAGCCAGATGTCGGAAGGGACCCACACGTTCCCCGGGTCAGCAGCAGTTATCTGAGCTACGTAAGAGCCGTTTAGAACAAATCAGATTGTGCTAAGCAGCTAGCCCACAGCAGATATACAGTAGAGAAAAATACCATATGCTACCCGTGAAAAAAACCACAACCAGAAGAAACAGAGCCCTTCCTTCTCAACTCACAGAGGCCACAAGCAATTAAACACTGCGTTAAATGCAGTATTTTGAAAAACAGAGTTGTTTTTCCTTTTTTTCTGGTCTCAGAAGTGGGAATAAGGCTCAGGGCTGCCTTACAGAGACAGCTGATGTCAGAGATAATCCCATGGTTGAACAGATACGTGGTGGTACGGAGTCAGTCGCAGGATGTGCCAGACACTCAGTACAGGGGGCTAAAGCTGTCACCGCATTTCTCTGAGCCCAAGCACCCTGTCTGTACAGAAGGGACATCTGCTCTGTTATTATATTTTTTAATTCTTTGTTTAAAAAAAAATAAATCCACAAACCCACAAATTTAAGCTCTTCAAGCCACGGACAAATTCATACACGTGACTGCTGCTAAACACAGCGGTCTGCTCACAGCTAGATCCCATCAGCTACAAGTGTTATTTTCAGACACTCCTCCCGTTCTCAGCCCGAGGACCAGGCCACCTGCCTGCCACATCTCCAAAGTTTTTCGCCAAAAAAAAAAAGCGAAAGCCAAGCCGAGGGGCGCACAAAGCCATCACCTGGCCGAGGGCAGCAGGGAACCACCCCCCGGCAGGGCAGAGCTCGGCTCCCCGCTGTCCCACCGGCGGGCTGGCGGCACACACACAGCTCCACACCACCGCGAAACGCCGCCGTTTGGCTCGGGAGAGGCTCTTTGGAAAGAAAAGAGGGAGAAAAAATAAAATAAAATAATAATAATAAAAAAAATCAGCGCTGGGCGGCAGAGACCGAAAGGAGGGCGCGGGTGCCCCGCACACACAGGTGGCGAAGGGGCACAGGGGCGATGGGCTTCACTCTGCCGAGCCAGGGACACCCCCAAAAAAAAACCACCTTCCTTCCCCAAACCTTCTGTCCCCAAATCTTCCGTTCCCAAATCTTCCCTCCCCAAACCTCCCCGCACAGCGAGCCACCTTCCCCCGCCGTGCCCCCCCCCCACCCTCCGAGGCCCGCACCCCCCTCTCCGCCTTCCCTCGGGCGCCCACCGCCGCCCTGCCGGCCCCGCTCACCTCGTCAGGAGCCGGGGGCGGCCATGGCTGCTCGGGGCGGGGAGCGGGGAGGGAGCCGCGGCGCTGCCCAGGCCCCGAGGCACCGGCGGCGGCGGCCCCCGGCTGCCTGCGGCGCTCGGCGGGGCCGGGGCTGGGCGGGGCCGGACGTGAGCGCACTTCCGCGGGGCGCCGCCATGGCCGGTGAGTGCCGCCGCCATGGCCCCGGCCCCTGAGGGGGGGGGGGATACTCGCCTCAGCACTTCCAAGAGGCTGCAGGGCACCGAGGGGGGAGTGAGGGGTGGTGAGGGTCTGGTGCTTCCTGATATAGGGGAATAAAATGTCTGTGGCTTGTCTCCCGGCTCGCTGGCGTGTTGTTTTCGGTCGGGGATGGGCGGTTGAGGAGGGTGCCTCGGTTGTGTAGCTGGGAGAAGCGAGTGACAGCAGTGTCTTGGTGTGTGTGGGGGCTTAATGTGTGTGGCAGCCTTCAAATGGTCCTGTAAACACAGTACCAAGAGCTGGGTGTGCAGCCCCCACGCTGTGTGGGGCAGGGGAGTTGATGCTTGTGAACATAGCATTTGTGTGGTACATCTCAAATCTAGACACAGCTGCATCAACTACTGGTGTGTACATCTCAAAATCTGGGCTTTGTGGTCTGTGATAAAGCACCCGCTGTCTTCAGTGGGACCAGAATTTCTCCCTGACACTTGTAGATCATGTATAGGCGTACCGAATTAATTCACATGTTCATGGCAGGAACCTTGCATGCATGTAGTCATCATTACCGTGACTATTTTTTGTCATACCTTGCGTTAACATGCTTAAGAAAATAAGCTTATAACATGTTGACAAATGACCACTACAGCAATCAGTACTACAAAACCATTACTGTCCATGTTACAACATCACATCTCAGAACAGGGTTACGCTTTTTTAATAGTATGATTATCTTGTAACAAAACTGGTAGGTAAGGAATTAGATTTCATCAGTGAACTTCTGATTGCAATAGTTCAATCTATAATAAATTCTATTTTACTTTAATCTATATTCAACAGTAAAGCAAGGAAAACATTTATACATGCACTTGCAGGGCAGCACACAGATTTGTTTCTGTATGTTTTAAATGGCTTGAATCTTTTTTTTTTTCCTCATGCAGCAAAGAGTCCTGCTGACAGTACCCCAAGAAGACCTGTTTTATCTGTCAGTGCAAGGAAAATTAAAGATAATGCAGCAGACTGGCACAATTTAATGATGAAATGGGAGAGACTGAATGATAATGGATTTACTACTGCAAACAAAATAGTCAACATGAAGATCAGTGAGCAGTAAGTATGCTAATACCATAGACAAGTAAAGACAGCATAAGGATTGCCTTCATTGAGAAACTAATCTGTTTTCTTCAGAAGAAAGATTTTTTGTAGACTGGGGAAAGAACAAGTCAGAGTGGATTAGCTGGCTCTTAGATCAAACTAAGCTGTTGCACTTTTTGGTTACATAAACTGTTTACATTCAAATAAGGTATACATGTTTCACAAAGATTAAAATAATCTCACAATGTAGTGGTATTTGCAAGAAATAGAAAATATTTATTATACATAGTCAAGCATAAGGGCTATTTAAAATATTTACATAACGTACAAAGTTAGAGTCTAATCCTACAAATCGATGCCCACACAGAAATTTGCAAGAGAGATGTAAGAGAGCTCTCTTGTATATTTACACTGATGCCAATATTACCAAATATCATTGAAGCAAGAGTTCAGCACATTTTAAGGAAGAATCAGTGATTTATGTAGACCAAAAAAAAAAAAGTTATAACGGTGGTGATTTAAAACTAATAATAATAAAAAAAAAAACAGTAACTTTAGTAGAGCTGTGTCTTCATGCAGTGAAGATAAACCCATAACAAACAAGATTTTGCGAAGAAGCTTCTGAAGAGTCCTGACAGTTGAACAGGGATTGTTTGACAGGGTTCTGACAGACAATCTCAAAAGTATTTTGCTGAAATGGTGTCAGATGTTGCTTTCTCTTTCTAGAAACTCCATCTCTGTCAAAGTTTACAGCTTCTGTGAGGAAGGTCAGCAAGACCATACAAGATACGTACCTGTAAACTAGCTGCTCCTGGTTCATGTTAAATGTCTTGTCTTAAGCTGTGAGTGAAAGTGACTTTGAAAGTGACTAGCCGAAGCCTTGACAAGCATTCCTCCTTGTCCATTATGAGAGGATGGATAACTTCCAACACAGTGGCAATGTACAGTGGGAAGAGGTGTTATCTTAACATTTACAACTGTTTTTTTTGAGCACATGCTGTAAAGTAGAATAATTCTATGTTCCTCTGAAGGTTGTGATACCAGCCTCAATTGCTCACATGGCCAGCTGTGTCATTTACTATTTTACGTTGGAATTCTCATGAACAGCCTGTGAGAAATTTCGTGTCATCAGACCACATGGATTTTAAATCTACCCATCTTGAGTACACCTGTGTGAAGTTGCTCACCCTGCCTTATGTTTCTATTTAGATTTCAAGATAACAAACTGGAGATAGCATGCGATAACAGTGGTACGGAATCTGAAAAGCCAGCTCCAAAATACAATGAAGAATTGGACAAATGCTGTGCAGAGCTACTAGAGACCTTAAAGCATATGGTAATACTATTTTTTCAGTCTTTGTATGAATCAGTTCCAAGTCTTTTCAAATATGACATAAGAAAATGACCTCATATATTTGTTGTAAACAGAAAAATTGGGATTTTTATTCATAATTCTTTGGCTTCAGACCTGAGTGATTATAATTCCAGTGGACTCCATTTATATGCTTGATAAAGTTTTTACATTTGCCTTCTGCTTATAATTCTACTCCTCCCTTATAATGTGGTTTGTAATGAGATCTGAAAAGTCATACAAAAGTCCATTCTAAAACTGCACCTGGTGTCTTCTTTCTCATCCTGAATATTCCCTTTGTTTAGAAGAAAGCAAACAACTTAAAGCACACAGCAGTGTTTTATCTACCGTGATATCCATTGCAGCCATCTTTGATTAGACAATGCAATTACATTTTTAGTCTGCCTACCGGCATTTTCTGTGCAGAACTTTTTCTTTATGGAGAAGAGTAAGATAATTACTATGCAACCCACCTTCTTTCTGGATAAATTGTCAGGAATTAATGTTAATTTTGAAAGGAAATTAAAGGAATTTCTTTGCCCTATACCAAAATGTAAATTTCTTAGTAAAAATGACTTTTATAGCCTTTAGCCATTGTGGAGGCCCATTAAAAAGACAATAGGTATGCTTTTTATACAGACAGGATACCAGACCAGTATTTAGAATAAGCAGGAAAGCAGCTAGATTTTCCTAAGATTTTGCTCCATGGGAAAAAGCAACAGTAATTTGTGGTTTTCCTTTTTTTTTTTTTTTTTTTCCCTTGAGATAGTTTGTATTCAGATGAGCAAGGGTGTTGAGGCAGCTTTTTTATTACTCTTGAGTAACAGGAGTCTAAGCAGCCTGTGCTACATGGGGATATTACGCATAGCTACTACAGACACTTTATTTTTCATTTCTTTTGACCCTGGTAAGCTGGTAAGCTTACAGATTTACAGAAACATCTGTATCTTAGCTTCTTGACTTAAAGATAGTGAATGTGAGTTCAATTTTGTTATAAATATCCGTCCCCTTAGGTAATGTACAAAGACAGGTGGACATGAAAGTGGTGGACAGGATGACCTGTTTTTCACAGCAAGCTGTTCAATCAGCCTAGATAAATTGCTAGTCATAGCTTGAACTGCTTTTCACACCTACAGCTGATCTTTTGAAATCAAATTTAAGTCACATTGACATGGTAATGTAAAAAAACATGTATTTGTAGGGCTTGTGCCAAACTTGTTCATAAACAGTCTGATGTTTTTCCACGGTTCTAATTTACGGGAAAAATCCAAAGAGATATAAAAAAGTGAGAGGGAGCTTTAATATATCTCTGCATGGGGGTAAAGCAAAAGAATTATGCAAAGTCAGAATCACCAATTCATATCTGGAGTGTTTGAAATTTTAGGATATCTCATATTAAATTTGTATATAAATTCCAGCTTTGATTCCCATCTGGAGTTAAAAAAAGAATTAGAAATGTTCAGACTAAGTAAATTCTTCAGAAAGAGTATTTAAAAAGATGTTCAAGTTTATAGTAGCCTAATGTTCCTGAGATGTTCATTAGCATTACACATTCATCGTTTTCAGACAAAAATACAGCTGAAAATGGAAAAGCTCTCTTCAACTACTAAAGGAATCTGTGACTTGGAAACATTCCACCACAGAGCTGGGAATTGCCCAGCACCCCTATTTCACACGTGGCCCACACCGTACTTCTGTAAGTAAAATATCGATCATCTTAGATAAATGCATTGTGTTGTTGATGTCATCTAATTTAGAACTGAAAAATAAACCCTTTTATCTGGATGTCTTCCCTTGGAGAGCGGGAGTGTGAATCAGTCTCCTTTATAATTGACTAATCAATAAACACATGAGTGCACTACTTGGTTTAGGATTACTGCTGATGACTGCTTGTATGAATTGCCAAGCATTGTCTGACATGCAACAACTGCAGCATAAAACTAAGCTTGTCAGCAGCTTACAATGTCCAAGCTGCAACAGCCACATCCTTTGTAGAGGGGGACATATTTGCAGCTTGGTAGCGTTAAGCTGCAGACTACTGAATGACTTGTTACTTGACACTGAAATGGAATCCTTGAATGCAGAGAACAAGATACACCTCAGTTAATTCACAGGCAGCCGAAGGGAAATAGCTCTGATCACAGTGTCACTTGAGACAAGTAAGGAAATGTTCAGTTACTGTTAATATCAGTCCTTTTTACATTCACTAAAAGGTACTGCCTCCCAACTGCTATTGCTACAGTTCTAAAAAATTCAACAGGAGCCTGACTACATGCAAACCAGCAGCCTTCTCTGTGAAGTCATGACAGTCATGCCTTTGTGAAGCCCTGCTTCTTACTTCATTACCACAAGCTATCAGAAATCTTACATATTAGTTTCTGTCAGCTCAAAAGGGTAAGAATGACAAAGACAACTGCTGTCAAAACACCCATTGTGACTGAATCATTTAGTGATGCTCTCTACTCTGTGAAAGACTAAATCCTCCTGAAAATAGTGGCAGTTCAGGCTAAGCTGGAAACAAAGATCAGTCTCTCTTAAAAATTATTTTGTGAGGTTATTTTTTAGAAAGTCAAACAATTAAAGAAATAATTATATAAAAGTAGTTTAACCCCCTATCAATATTACTAACATAACTAGTAAAAATACTAGTTTTTACATTATGCACTTCAGGTTTTGTCTATTGATTTGTTTTACCACTATTCTTCACTACTGGTATCACTTACTGGTGATCATGTGTTGGTAAAGGGCCTGACAGCAAGTGAGGACATAAAATCATAGAACCACTCAGCAGTGACTCTAAAATGTGAAGCTTGTCTTCTGAGATAGCATTGCAAAATTTTATGATCAAATTTCAGTTATTTAAAAGGAAAGATGGGAAAGATGTAGTAACTGCTAGTTTTACAGTGGGTCCTGAGAACTGATACCGCTGCTTATTCTAGAATTAAAATGCAATTCATATCAAAATCACAAGTGTTTAAAAGTATAGCCAAAACCTGAAAAATTAGGAAAATGTTTAGCATTTTATATTCAGGAATAAAAACATTATACAAACCAGGATGAATAAATATGGGGAACAGCTTTTGTAAAGGTAGAGTTCTTTTAATGATCAACACAGTACAGGCATAATTCAGTGTTTAGGGAACTGCTGATTTGTTATGGTCACTGTGCTTGGTTTTTCTATTCATTTCAGATGAGGTTTCTCTGAAGCTCTCTGAAATGTACAAGAAGGAACTACAACTCAAGAAAACAATTGTAGAAGAAATTGCTCATTCTGCTGACCAGGATCTGATGATGGTCTATTTATCGTCATGGTTATACCAGCCTTATATTGATAACAGCAGCAAACTACTGCTGGAAGCCATGCTGCTGGAAACAGGACACAGGCAGTGCTAGAACTTCAAATGTCGTTTGCCTTGCTTCTAATGATGCATACGTGAAACTGCAATTGCAAATTTGCAAGGCTCACCAAGTAAGTTGAATTTTGTAAAACTTATTAAAAATATTTTTCTGTTTGTATTTATTACTTCATCTCAGCTGATACTCTTTTCTGCATGGGGCAATGTGGTTTTGTCTGCTTTACCAAGTGCAATACAGAGCCTACGTAGGAGGCTGTATAGAGGCTAAGTTCTCTAATTGGAGAGAGATGAGCACTACTTCGTGGTCTGGGATTGGGAATTAATGCACATAGACACTTAGAACAAATAATTGCACTACTTTCAAAGTCCTGACAGTCTTGACAAACTACCAAAGTCCTGATAAACTACCTACATTGTTGCTGTCACCATAGAAATTCAGTGCTTCTTGATCACGTGTTTTTTTCCATGACTAACAGGGCTAGCACTCTTGTACTTAGTTTATAAAAGAGGAAAGGGAAAAGAGAGCACAAAAGGCAGGATCTAAAAGTGGATCTAAAAAGATCCACGTTATTTGGTATGTGATCCTGAAAAGCTGTTGTACACAGCAGTATAAATTCTGGTTTGCTTTTGATTATGGTGTGATTTACTCATGAAGAGTGATCCAAGCCTGAACTAGTACATTTGGAAGTTTTAGTACAACTTGCTACTGCACAGCTATTATATAAAAAGGCATTGTCTTTTTTGATTAATTGCAACTTTTAGAGATGTTTCATGAAAGGCTGTGTTGAATAAAAGCCAGCATTGCTCTGGTTATGTCCTTAGACCATATTGTTTGCTTCTCATCATAGAGCTCACTGAGCTTTTCTTTGGGTTACTGTTTCTGATGGTTTAAAGGTTTCTGATGGTTTTGGTTTAAAGGTGTGTCCTTTTTGCATTTTTGGTTAGCAATTTACATAACCAGATTGTTAGCTCAAATTTTTGCTTTTCTTTTTCATTCTGCTTTTTGGTTTTCTTAGAAAAGAGAGTAAGGGAGTATGTTTAGGAGAAAGTTAATGAAAAAGATAAACGCTGAAAGGAATTCAATACCCATGTTTGCTTTCACTCCTAAAGGTATAATCACTGTAGCATACCATTATGCCAGACCTGGGTGGTATGGAAAAGTTGCTATGCTTGCCAACAGTTATTAAAGGCTTGGTTCTTTTTGCAAATTAGGACTTTTCACAAAAGTGTATTACAACTTGCAAACTCTGCAGCTGCTCAATCATTTTTTAAAGTTAAATCCCTAATGTCTAGTGAAGTTAGGCCCTTCTACTTAATTATGATGAATAATGCAAATTCCTCCTACTCAGTGATGGCCTATATGGCCTGCTACTATATGAGATGTTGTTTTCCAATTCCAGTCTTCTGTTTCACACAATTACTGTAGCATTCCTTAGTGCTATTGAACCACTGCTGTGCTCTGACAGATGTTTATCCTTGATTTCTCCCTGAAACAACTATTTAAACTAAAAATAACATGAAATGCACACTGCTATGAAATGGCCACAATGGCTGTGGTTTGACATTGTAAAAATCTAACTAACAGTGACAGATTCTGGAACAGATTTCTGATAGGAAACGCAGGGTCACTTTTGCTTAACTAGTTCCAAGCTGAAACCTCATAGGCTTGGGTAAGGGAGGTGCATGAATTGCCTGCAATAACCAAATAGACCTATGTGAATTGGAAAAGTTTTCTTTTGCATGTTGCTCTGTTGAACAAAGGTTATTTCTGACAGCTTAATAGTGTTCTATTCTTAGCCAAAATTTCTAGTGTGTAAAAAAAAAAAAAAATCTGCTGTAGCTCAAGAATACAATTATGAACAGCTTTGCTAGTTTTTATTATTGCTCTTTGCAAGCATTCCGCGCAGCTTAACAGCCACCTTAATTTATCTGAGTAGGGCCAGACCCTTGTCACTATGGAAACACCTTCATACTTGAGAAATATTTCGCAAGGAGGCAAGGTTGGTTCACTTACAGAATTGCTCTTTTAAGATGAGAGTAAGTATATTGTATTTCCCAGCATGTACAGATCAGTAGGAAAGGAAGAACTGAAGCGAGTTTTCATTTTCTGCACAGGTGGAAATGGTGGTTTGTTCTTATTTCTTAGAAGAATTAAGCTCTTCGGGAAGGAGACTTCATATTCACAAATCACTTTGTGCATTGACTGCTATAGGACAGAAGATTACTGCAAAATTGTTATTGCAGAGATGTTGTGTCATTATAGTTCTAAAAATGTCATTATTATATTTGGAGCCCTCAGATGTAGTTTAGATAGACAGTATGAAAGAAGGTAATAAAGAATTGCTCACTGCAATCTAAGACTTGGAAAGACCAGCACAACCCTAGCTTTATATGGTATATTCATTTGTAAAGTAATTACCTCTGGCTATTACCACCTCCTAAAAAAAAGAAAACAACACAACTACAAAGTAACAAAAAATAACCAAAAAAGCAACAGAAAATCCTTAAACCCAACAACCAGACAGGAAGTCACTAAAACACATCTTTCACATCCATTAATAAAATGCAAGTGTCCTGCCTAATCATAAATCAACATTCAACTTGGGCAAACAAATTTAAAAAAAAGTATTAAAGGGATATTACAGAGCAGATTGTTTCATCTCTAAATTTTCCTTGGATCTCATTGGATTCAATTTTAGTATGTTTTTACTCGGTAACTAAAAATATTTAAGAACAAATACCTGCATAAAGGTAATTTTAGCTGATTTGTCCAATTATTTCAGTATTTCATTTGTATTTAGCAATGAGGCAACACACAGGTTTTAAAGGTACGTTACCAGTTTTCAGTAATATTCACAAGAGCACAAGAACAAAATGAAGATGCTGGTGATTTATTTAGGACTGTTCTTTTTTACTTTATAAGCTTTTTGAGAGTTAGTGCCTTGGAAAAGGCTACTATCAGCACCTAGGAATGCCCACAAAAATATCATCCAAGCAATAAATGCCATTTTATTACTACGCACAATAGCAGCAAGTAATAAACAATTTGATAACTTTTCTCTCTGCATGGAGAAACAGGAATTACAGTCAAGGTTACATTTTTATTATGATTAAACAGTACAGGGCAGTGTAGAATTACTAGGAAGGCCAAAGCTTAGAACTGATGAAATGCATCATCTGGAGGAAAAAAAAAGTATAATAGAAATTAACAACTAAAAGAGACAATCAGGCACTGAAGTTAAAGAAGTTGGTATCGCATTAAAAAAATTCACATTAGTAGTTATGCACCTTCCTATTTCTTTCCAAGTAACAGCAACTGTTGAAGGCATGGCTGAACATTAGGCAAGAACGCTTGAATATATTTCCAACAGTTCAGTACAAATTAATTCTTGTTTGAGGCTATTTTTGTCTCTAAGCAGTGGATGCTTAGCTTAGTGTTATTTAAATGAAGATCAGTTAGGCTGTCACATTGTTCCCGGAATGCACAAGTGTGGATTGTGTTTGAAACTACCCCTTTTTTCAGACAGATTTATGTAGACCATGTCTAGATGCTAATGAATATTCAAGCTAGCTTTAAGAAAGTGCAAACCAGCACTGTTCTGTATTCTCAGCAGCACCAAAAAATGCATATTTTTAATACAGTTTTTATTTTACCCATACACAGCTTGCCAGTACATAGCACATCACTGCCAAAAAGCAGTACAATTTACTGAATTTAGATGGCTAGAGAGAAGAGGAATTATGTAACAAAAGGGAATAGTGCAACAGTTTTAGGATTGACAGATTTCAACTTTCCGCCCACCCCCCAACATATAAAGCAAATAGAACAATGTTAATTTTAAAATTTTTGGTTGCAATGGTTTTAGATTTTTATAAACATAAGTTATAAAAAGTACAGGGCATAGAAACAGTTTACAAATAAGTTAAATTTCAATTATCTCAGTATTCACATTAGAAAAATATACATTTTTATATAGACAGTCTTTTCCAGAAGAAAGCATGTACAGTATTCTAATTTATGGCTCCAATTCGCTTTGTGAAAGCAGAAGGTTTTCACTTTGGCCATCTGCTTCCATTGCCAGTAGTGCTTCCACAGTTTCCAAAGGTATCCCATCCGGTGCGCGGATGTGCATTGTAGTACCATTAGAATCAGTTACAATAACAATGCCTTCTGCCTGAGACAGAAGAGCAGTATCCGGATGAGACAAAATAAGCCCATCTGAAGTCTGAATAAAAATCTGTTCGTGTCCCTGAGTCAAAAAACCATGGCTCTCATCAGTAATCTCAAAAGCTACAGTTTCATCTACAGTAATTGTATTCTCCAGCTCATGTTGTTCCCCTGTCCCACAAGAAAATTCACCCGTGTTCTTAAAAGAGCAGTCCTGGCTCAGGTGAGCAGGCAGGGATACTTCCTGGACAGGATTCTGGTGCAACTCAGTCTGAGCATGGTGGGGATGGCTTATTGGCACGTTTGTTGAAAACACTTTTCCAAGTTGCTGCGTTTCCTCAGTCGTATCTGCATTGTGAAGTTGTTCAGAACGTCCTTTAACAGCAAAAACATGGCTTTCTTCTTGCAGTGACTGATATTTTTGATTGAGACCATTTTCTTCCTTCCTTGACAAGTCAGTTGTCTGAATGCCCACTGCGTGCTCTGACACAGAGTTGCAGAGTGGAGGAGCTGACAGTCCACCTGCTGTATTCTCACTCACAAAGTGTGCTTGAATTAATTCTGCTGAGCCGTCTGCTTCAACAGGCAATATGACTTCAGTATGCAGCAGAGACATGTCACCTGCAGTATCTGGCCCCTGTGTGTCTGTGGGTTGGGAATACTCTATCCTCATTTTCACAGCCTGAGAGAAGGGACCTGAATTTTCAGCACTGATTCTAACTTCTGAACCTACAAGCGAATTCTGTTCCTCCGCTGGTAACAGGCTTCCAGTTGTGCAGCAAGTGATATGTTTACTTTCTGAAAGCAGGAAGCAATTTTCTCCATTTAATGGATTAAAACCTGAAAAAATTGAAATTTGAAATATCATTTTGTTGGGCAATCTAGTACTGCATGTACAAAAAGTTATTTTTTCAGCTTTAACTTTGGAGGAAAAGCTAAACCACTTCCCTCCCCTAAATTAGCAAGCCTGAAGCCTTTTTGAAAAGTTTCAAAGCACTTCCCAATGAGAAGACTGGTAAAAAAATACTTAAGGTACTTTTTGTTATTGCGTATTTCAGTAACAAAGGACCTTACACTGGAAGCAGCATTTTTCTGTTAATCCCAAAAAACACCTGTGCTGGAAGTCAAACTGTTCCCCCCACACACCTCCTATCTGGCACACCACCACTAACATTAAGTGAGAAGGAAAATTCCAGGCACAAGATTGTCAGTTGCTCGTCCTCATTACCATTACTAAACTGACAGAAGCTTTTAAACTCGGTAAAAATTCTCTTGATAAGTCAAGCTCTAGGATTCAGAGAAGTCAAATTACTACATATCTAATGAGCTGTGCTAGCAGCCACAGTACAGAAAGGGTAAAACACTAGAAATGTAGTGTGTTTTACCAGTTCTATGACCTGGACTAAGAGTTCTCATAAGCTTAGCAGGCAGTTGAACAGTATCTGCCAAGCAGCAGTAGCTTGAGCCATCAATTTTTATTGAAGATCAAGAGGAACAGAGAGGTTTTTTTCTGCTGTTATTATGAAAGATATCACTGTACCACAAACGAGGCCTAACAGCTCAAAAAGGAACTGTTTTAACTTTCTGTGCTGTAGACTAGCAAAAGCCCTCCTAGCATGTACAAGTGAAACAACAATAAAACAACAACCTGATAGGCCAGAAGAAAATCGTAAGATAACAAGAAATAAGCATTGTCATGCAGAGAGCCTTCCAGAGAAAGAAAGATAAACTGGGGGAAGGATAGGGAACAACGCAAAACCAAAAAAAAAGCAACCACTGACAAAGACATGCAAAGGGCAAAAGAAAAGCAGCTTATGGCAACACCAAAAAAAGATGTGTACAAAGCAAGAGGATGGAAGTGCTATGTACTTTACTCGAGATGGGTAAGGGTTGGGATCTTTCACAACAGTAATTGCAATGCCTCTGAACAGTGCAACACTTTAAAATGAAAGACCAGTGCAGTTTGTGGAGATTACAAATGGACCCATCCCTGTTTCCTCTCTAATCCACTTACCCTGAGGAGCAGGGGGAATAAAGATAAAGAGGAGAGAAAAAGACAGACAGCCCAAAGACTGTTGTGCAAAATGGTGTCTCAATTCCAGCCTTTAGCTCCTGTATCTCCCCTGGGATACAGGACAGCCTGCACCAGCTCTTCCCCTCCCCCAGGATCCACAAAGCTCTGATGATTCCACTCTTGCAGTCTGCTGGGGCAAGGAGGAAAGACATACCCATTGCTTCCTCTTCCTCTGCTCTCCCCCTGCTGCCACAGAGGCTGTGCACTATCTCCGCTCTAAGGAACAGTGCGGTCAGGAAGCATTCAGGAAACGCGCAGCAGAGGACAGTGCTATTCCCTCAATTCTGCAGTAGTATCAGTGAGAGGATGATTATGCGTTTAGAATTGAGCTACTGTTGTGGTGTGCATCATCCATAACTTCCCCTCTCCCCAGTGAAGACCTGCTTTTGAAGAACCCAGGAAGCAAGCTGAGAAATGAAACCTTAAGACAAAAACCACAGCAGCTTGAAGAACAAAGATTTGCTCAGCTCCTCCACGAACAGAACAGAATTGGAAAATGGGAAGGAGGTTACCATCTTTTTCAAAGAGTGTACATAAATTCCCACTCTTTTCTTTCACTTCATCTTGACTGGCATAAGCATTATTCACATTCTCCATTACGTCTTCTAACTTGGTCCTTTTGGCTGATGGCAACAGTTCCTCCCCTGAGCTCTGTCAATACAAGACATAATTAACTGGCTGCCACCACAACAGCTAACAGTATTGGAAAAGAACACAAACCAACTGTGGGCACTTTGCGGCAGTGAACTGATACTGTCCTTGAAAACAAGATTTTGCACTGAGAAAGGACTTCTTAGGAGGTAAGGATTTAAACACAGCTCTCATACTTAGCCAAAATACCACTGATAGTTTTTGATATTTGGTTGAAACGATCTGCCCTGGCTTCGGTATCAAAAGTTTCTCTCTAAGCCTTTGTGATTAGCTGTATGGCATGATACCTGCTATAACCTCTCTCTCCAACGTCAGTAAAGGGCTGTGAACAACTTGCCCAGCATTGTTTGGTTAAAGAACAGATCAGCTCAAATCTAACCATGGGCAGAAAAACGGAAGAGTGCCAGTCTTATCCTCCACCAGAAACAACTCTAAATTAAATAAAAATAGAACAGTTGAGGGGAAGGACCACAGAGATGGGACTTTCAAGAAAAAGGAAATAGACCACACTCCCTGCTCCAGCTGCCAAAAGACCAAATCTGGGGAACTGACTTACTAGAAAGAAAGGAGCTGTTTTTTGTGCACAACTACCAACCACCAGTTAGCACTGCAACCGCTTGTCCAACACCTGAGCCTGCTGCAGGTTAGCTTTTTTTTTTTTTTTTTTTACTTAACCAGAGGTCAGATAATACTAGTATGATTTATAAATAAAATATTTATCTATTTCAACAAGCTTTAGTATATTCTGGTTTCACTTTTAGTTCTCACAAAAGCATTCCATACCTCAGCTAACCGTTTTTGTCCCAGTATCTCCACCGGCACTTGCTCACTACCCATTTTAATTATATGTTGTGAGCAAGAGTCTATGCCTCGCACCTTTTGTTCTCCAGTGAGTATTTCTGTAATTCCCAGTGATTCAGCAACCTTTAAAGACAGTTACAAGAAAATAAGTGAAAGTTAGCCTCTCCAGTCTGAACACAAAAATACTGAAATTCTGATTCATTTTCTTACAGCTAAACCAGAAGTACACAAAGTTCCAGCCTGACAACCAGTCATTACAGCATAATTATTTAGACTCTGATGTTTTCTGCTAGCTTCCACATTAATAGAACATGACCTTCTTTTGAAGGTGAACATTAATGGGCAAACTCAAAAGAATTAGGAGTACAGTGGTTATATATAGAATCCAGAAACAGTTACTCAGAAGAGCAGGGTTTAATAAAGAAGATTGTAGAGGCTCTTCATTACTTAAAAAACATGCAAGTCTTGCTATTTAAAAGTATGTGTTAGTAGCTAAAGATTATATATTTTTTCCAAATCCCATTCTTGTGCTTCATCCTTATGTAGGTGTGCTACTATACAACTTCTCCACACTTACTTTTTCCTTTAAAGAGCATAACCCTATATTAAGAAAGCACATTAAAACTAAAAAGAAGCAAGAAACAGATTCAAATTCGGGACTGCTGGTATCGACAGCATCCCTTTACTCAGTGCAACTTCATTTCTCCAAATGGAAACAATTGGTCAGCTACTAAATAGATGAGCATGCGGTAATTCTAGGAAGCTTTTCCGATACATACAGTGAATGTCATGAGATATTCCAAAAAATAATAAGCACTACTAACAGCCCATACAGGAGTTCATTGTTAGCCTGGATTATTGTACAAACAAAAATTTTCCCTCTACCTTCCCTATTTTAAGTTTTCAAGTATGCTGTCCTCTCACTGTAGTTGCAAGTTCAGTGCAGATGTACCCTTATGAACACATCATTTAGAAATTTTATTGGATGTAAGATGCAAAACAGAGGGGAAAAATCAAGAACATGTTACGTACAAAGATCTGTTTTATTCCAATCAAGGGGAATATATACCAAATAAAGATCAAAAAGATCCATATTAACACACACACAAAAATCAACAATGAATCTGAAGAGTTGCTGAAATAATGGTTTGCAATTTTATCAATGTATTCATTATCTTTTGAATTTGTTAGTATAACTGAACTGCACAGAAGCATTCAGGTTTGTACTCATTCTGCAATGAAACCAATTATCCCTTTAAGTCAAGGCCACTCAATTTAAACATAGCCCTTTTCCCTCCAAACCAAATATCACAGTGTACTTCTAACACTAAACACACTTTGCAGTAACGTACAGCTTCGTACCACCCTACCCTAGATATGCAGACAGATACAAAAAATCAGTACTATTAGAACTGTTTTTATTTAAGTTTCTAGTTTTAGACGTTGCCATGTGCTAGAATTGTAGTTTTGTTATGAATTTACTTTTTCTCTTTGCTAGCTTATTGTACATTTTGCAATATCATTTTTGCTCATCAAAAACATGCCTTCTTCAAATAACTTTACCAGGATAACAAAACTTGTCAGACAAAATATAAAAACATCTAAAAAGCATCTAAAATAGACAAAGAGCAGAAATAGCACAGTTCCAAGTATTTTATTACCTTAGCATCTTTTATTTCAACAGGCTGCTGGCAGCTGAGCAAATCAGAATTACTGAGGTGATCGTAAGCCATTTTCTTTACCATATTATGCAACTCTTCAAATTCCCTATACACATCTGGGAAGTAAGCTTTGGCTGGATACCCTTTTTCCACCTAGAAATAAAAGAAGAAAGGCTTTGTTTCCACCCTATATATTTTAAATAAGATGAAATGAAAATCTATCATTTTGTTCAACATTTAAAAATACTAGCAGTCAAGTTAAAAGACTACGGGATCTTCAGAAATGCCACTGAACCAGAGAGCAAATACCTTCTATCAGGAGACCTGTCAGCAGGAAACCTGTGTAAAACTGAAGTGTGACATCTGTAAAACTGCAGCTGCCTAGAACATCTATATTCTGCACAGTGCTAACTTAGGAAATTCAGATACATCTCTAAAGGAATATTTTAATGTATATTAATGGAAGTTGCTCTAAATTAATTTAACATTTTTACATTTAAAAAAATAATCAAATAACCTCACCTTCATCAACAGGAATTCATACACTGTAACAAGCTTTGTAAGGCGTGGGAGAGCCAGCTCCATCAAGTCTTCATTATCACACTGCTGTATCAGCTGTGAAGAGCCATAATGAGTTTATTAGAGCAAAGTAGCCTCCAGAGGTTAATGCATCCCACATTCAGAACATAAAATATTGCTACTCTTCTGCAAGGAACATAGAGGTATCCTACATCAGGGTGACTTTTTTTTTTTCTATTTTAAATAGGTAGCACATAGCACACTGTCAGTCCTATAGGCAACTGCTGTTAAAAATGCAAGCTAGGAACAAGTTTGCCTTTGGGTGCAGGGGGTGGGGGGCACAGATAGACATACTTTAAGTTTTAGCAGCTTTAAGAATAAAAGCGTAACAGCAGAAGATAAGTTAAACACCAGGAGATAAATTAAAAATATCTCAAAGCTGTTACTACACATGTTTACAGACAACACTCAGTCCCACAAGCATTGCAAATTCAGAAAAAGAGCAACATTAGTAGATTCAGGAGCCATTAAAGATCTTCAATGACACACAGGAAACAAACAAAAAAATCATATTAGGTGCACAGATTTTAATCCTCATTCTATCCTCTCCCAAGTGCTTCTCTGTGTATATGTTAAAATGTTGCCTCACTTCAGTTGGGTCTATTTCTTTTGATTGTGTTATAGTAGATGCACAATAGTAGCTAGTAACTTTTCTTCTCCAGAAGAAAAGCAGGAGTATATCTACATGTCAAAAGGCCCTTTCCACACAGAGTTCCCATTTTCTCTTTGTCCATCATTCTGCTGGAAGTATTTTTTCCCTGAAAGCCAACTAAATATTTTCTTCTTAGCAAATGTCTTAGGCTTTCATCTTTTCAGTAAACAAGAACATCAACTATCAGTCTTCTTGGAAATAATCCTTGAGGTAACCCAAACATTAAAAAAGGTGGGGGAGGAGATACTTATGAAGTAATTACAGAAGAGAACCGTACCTCTTTTAACCTAGCTTTTCTTCTGAATACGTTGTGTTCTGTTGACACACTACTAAGTGACTTTGAAGGGGACTGACCAGGTCTGCTAAGCCTTCCAGAGCACCTAGATCTTCCACCCATCCTTGGTCGACCACGTCTCTTCCGTCGTCTGGGTCTTCCAGGTCCTTTTGGTTTTATGGGTCCCCGGTGTCCTGAACTGCTTTCATTTTGTTGTTCTTCCATCAGGTGCCTGCTTTCTCCAGAGTTACAATTCTTAATCGAAAGAAAGATAAAAGTATTTATTCACCATTTGAAACAGTATTTTAGGCACAATTTTATAATTAATTCTTCATCTACACAAAAATTAAACAGTATATTAAACAAATACAAGGTTGGAAACAAGCATAACTGCAAAGAAAGTTGCAGAAGAAATTCAGCACATTAGTAAGACTGCGACCTCAGCAATATTTACATGCCTTTATTTATAAAGTTAGCCTTTTTGATCTGCAAATTACCATACAAAATACAAAGATCAGGAGAATATAGTTAGAGTTGTTTATGCCTGTTAAATATGCTTAGTATTTTTGAAGTAAAATATTGCCACTTTGAATAGAGAGGTTATAGAAGTAAACCTTAATTAGCAGTGAAACACACACAAAGAAAAAAAAAATGCTTTCATTGGAACCATGTGAAAGTACAGAGATTTTATGAAACATAAGAAGTTTGGGCAGCCACAAACAGCGACTAGCCCAATAACTAAAGTCAAAATATATTTCCCAATCTCCATGAATATAGCTACATAGCTTCTGTTATAAAAGCACAAGGCAAACCTCAAAGTACATTTTCTGTTTTTTAAATTATCATAGTGATCTTAGTGCAAAGAGATTTTTACTGATCAAAGTAGTGATTTCTTACTAAAGATTTCACTTCCAAGCTAGAATTTCTAAGAATGTCCCTGCATTCTTTTAAGAGGCTTGAACAACAGTTCAAGCTTATTTTCTTAATCAATACTTTTTCACCTTAATATTTAGTAGCTTCCTACTACTCTAATAAGTAGGAAAGCTGACAAAATGACACCAGTTCTAGCCCATGGATTAAGTTACTATATTAGTTCTAAACACAAGACTAGGTTGAACATGGGGGTCTTGTATGCCTTCCTCTATCTATCAATGTAGCAGTTTTAGTAATCCTGCTATTCTTTCTAGGAAATAATTATCTGGCCAAAAATTATAAATAAATCAAGAAGTTACAGCACCAACTTCTAGTATCGGGTTTTGCCAGTTAAAGATAACTGGTATGATAGGAATCTAGCAGTAAGAAGTAAGTGTTGAGATTGTCTGAAGATTTTTGTTTGCATGTTTCTAGGTGTTTTATTTACTTATTTAAAGAATTCCTCTCCTCCTGGGTAATATGAGTGCTGCCCAGGGAAATAAATATATAATAATACAGGCAGCAGACGTCAGTATTCTGTGCTTCTCTCTTTTTCTAAAGATGACAGAAAAGCACAGAGGATGAGATGTTTTGTTTGCTGTGTTGGCACCTTGACCTGAAGTTTTCATGTTTCTGAGAACAGCTTCCGTTCTAAGTAAAAATACAGCATTGCTACAGCTAAAAAGGGTATTGTTTCTTAGGCAACAGTTCCATCAGCTCTTGCTGCAAGATGTTGGTCAGAGAAGAGATAACTGTACTTTGAAGAGAAACTTTAAGTTAAATTGACCAGCCTAAGACATCCCAGAAAAATGCAGCTGAAATTGCTTCCAAGCCAGAGTCAAGCTTCAAAGTGTTCAGTCTGCAGGGATGAACTGCAGCCTCACTTCAAAACTCATGTAAGCCTCACTTTCAAAACCTGGTGTAGGAAAAGCTGTGGTCCTCTGTCCAATTCCAAGTAAGTTTTGCCACAGAAAAAAAATGCTTCAGTAACAGAAACCGATGAAGCAGATGATGTCTTGCTGTCTGTCATGAAGAAAGCTATATATAACTGAACAACGTAGCATTCTTATATGGAGAAAAGAAGGCTATTTATGCAGACCTATTTTTTTCCAATCTGCAAACTGCATGTCAGAAAGCCAGTAATAAAGGAACGCTTGGTGAATATTTTATGTTTCTGTGCAAGAATACTATTCCTGACACATTTAAAAAAAACAACAAACAAACAGGTTGTTGTCTCTTGCAAACACCTTAATGGGAAATATGTTTAATTTAGCATATTGGTGGATATTGCTGGGCAGCACAAGACTTGCATGTTTTACCAATGAGCACTACTGAATTCACATGTATTTAGATGCCTACCTTCAGTCTCTTCAAAAATACTCGTATCATTGTCTACAGGAACTCAGATGAATGAGTACAGCATGCAGCTATTAAAATTGCCCTTCTATTTTCTACAAAACCGACAGCTGTAACACACTTTACCTGTCCTCCAGGCTGCAAACCAACGGTTTCTTCCAAATTGGTAGGTAGTGCATATTCATTATTAAAAGTGACGGCAATTGAATCCAAATGTGCTGGACTCATTGTTTCCACTCCTGTTCCACAGGGATTGTCCACAAATATACTTCCATTAGGCTTATTTAAAGGTATTTTTTGAGGTGCAGGCTCCAGCTGTCCATGACCTGGATTAAGTTTATAATGTCTTGCTAATCCTCCCTTTCCTATATAGGATTTTTCACATGTCTGACATTTAAACATTCTGGGTTTCAGATTATAATTTGAAGAATTAAATAATGCATCCTTTCCTTTCACCTTTCCTTCTTCATCATCTTCTATACTTAGTTCAGAGTAATCATCAGAATCAGACTGATGACCATGAGCCAAATCCTCCATCTTAATGAATTTATAATCTTTAGCCTTGTATTTTGGAGGGCGTGAAATCCGTCCAGAACGAGTTTTCACTTTCAAAGATTTTTTTAGCTTGTCTTTTTGTTTTTTTTCAAGACATGGTGTCAGGGTATTTGTTGAGTTGGCTGCAACCATGGTGATATTTGAAGACCTTGTAGCTGATACTGTAGCACGTGCCGTTTTCTGCCCATTCAGCATCTTACTTGTAGCAGTCTTGTTCACAGACACTGATCCACCAGACAGTAAAGGTCTCTGCACAAGCAATTGAATTGGAGATTCGGAAGAACTATGTAGGAAAATCTGCTGCTGCTCCTGCTCAGTTCCTGTAACAGGCTGTATTCTAATTATCTGGGGATTAATAACGCCAAGTCCAGGTATGCTAGAATTTCTACCAACAGACTGACTCAGTGTTATAGTTTTGGGCTGGACTGGTGCCAATGATGGCATTGGCCTTTCAGTTTCTTTCATCTGTTCTGGCTGCACTTGGACACAAATGGCCTCCAGCTGCTTTTGTGGAAAAGAAAATAAAAATAATTCAGGTTACACAAATACAGCATTAATTAAATAAAGCCAATATTTATCAATATGATTCATACATGCCCTTAGAGCAAGGCAGGAAGAAATGAATTCACGGTGTTAGTTTTTGATTTAAACGCATCAAAGCCCTGAGTGAATGTCAAAGAGCAGGTTCCCTTCCTTCAAGCTATGGGCTTTCCTGCACGTTCACCGGTCTAACTGCTGCTAGCTAAAGCACGTGGAGTTTGCTGGTGGGTGACATTACAGCTTCGCTTCCTGAAAGCAGGCCTGTCCTGGAGCAGCAGTCAACAGCATCCCGGAGGCAGGTTCATAACCTTTAACAAGCCCAAGGAGCTGCAGCCTGCTACAGGGCACAGGCCACGCACCCCATGCAGGACGTGCAAGTGCTCTGTTAGGAGAGCTTTGAGACCACGAGCTGTAAGGCGTGCTTCCTCTTATCCACCTCCTTCCAATTCTCTCCCCATCTTCCAAATTTCCACCTTAGCTCCAAACCGACCACCCGCCAACCTCAAACACCGCCCGGGAGCCCGAGCTCTGCCCCCTTCCTCAAGCAGGGCCCTGAGGAGCCACCCGAGCTTCACCCCCCGGCAGCACACCGAAACCCGGGGTGGCAGCAGCTGCTCCAAATCCCGCTTCCCCCGCTGAGAGCAGGAAGAAAACCCACAAATTAAAGAAGCACTGAGAGCCGAGGCACCCCCAGAAGGCACCCCCACGCGGTTACCTGCTGCGGGAGGAGCGGGGCGGCGGCGGCCCCGGCCGGGCCGTGCTGCAGGGCCCCGCTCCGCGGCTGCCGGGCGGCGGCGGCCCGGGGAGCCCCGGGGGGAAGCGGGGCGGCCCCCGGCGGAGCTCCGAGCGGCTCCCGGGCCCTGCTGGCTCGCTCGGGGAGCCGCCGCAGCTCCTCGGCGGCCAGGCGGCCCGCAGGGGGAGGCGGCTCCGCCGGGCTCCCGGAGGCGGCCCCCGGTGGCTCCGGGTTCAGCCCCGCGCCCTCCGCCCGCAGGTAAAGGACGGCGCTGGCAGCGGATCCCAAGCTGCGCTCCCCGCCTTCCTCCTCCTCCTCCTCTTCCTCCTCTTCGCCGAGGGGAGCCCCGCAGGCGGCCGCCGCCCCGGGGGGCTCCCCCTCAGCGGGAGGAGGAGGAGGAGGAGGACGAGGGGGGGGCGGTGGCGCCTCCGTGCCCCCCTCCTGGGGAGCCGCCATCTTGGCAGGCGGCGGGCGGCAGCCGCAACGGCCGCACTGCCCCGGGCAGCGCCCGGAGGAGGAGGAGGAGGAGGAGGCGGCTCCCGGCCTTCATCCCGCCGCGGCACCGAGGGAAGATGAAGGGCGGCAGCCTCGGGCAGCAGGGAGGGAGGGAAAAAGGGAATCCCGCTGGCCCGTACGGGGATCGAACCCGCGACCTTGGCGTTATTAGCACCACGCTCTAACCAACTGAGCTAACCGGCCGGCTGGAGGAGTCTCGCCGCCCAGGGACTATAGATGCACGCTACCAGCGCATTGTACCTAAGTACAATGAGAGGTGAAAGGCAGAGAAAAAGCAGAATTCGCTGCACTTGAAAGCCCGGGGACACGCAGAGACCGTAAACCTCTAACGGAGCCTCCCGCCCGGCTGGCAGTGCTGCTCCTGCTGAGGTGTGGGACACAGCGGGGGCCACTTGCCCTCCCTCTAACCCAACGAGCTCACACCCCCAGGGGGCTTCTAGGGTGTAATTCCACTTGGCATTGAGTTAGACACCGTGTTTGTGGCATATTTTTTAAAACACTTAATCCCCCAGACGTTTAACGCAGTGGTAATATCTCAGTTTGCACGGACAACTGTTTCACCTTCTGCTAATGTTTTGCTTTTTATTATATATGCATTTAAAAGCTTTCTTCTTAGCTTTAAAGCTTAGATTAAAATGTGGATATAATGAACAATTCGTGCTGGAGGATTAATAGTTATAATTACCAATTACACTATCAAGAGACAACACACCAAAAAATACAAATAATAATAATAATAATAAAAAAAACAAAACAAAACAAAACACGAGAGTGCAAAATAACATGATAGAATTTAATATTGCATGTGAGAATGGTGACCTGCGGATGTTTAACACAACCACAATTGTAGGAAGTGCTCTGTAAAACAGTTCCTAAGCTGTTGCAACAAGTGATTCGCTATTTGAGGTCGGTCTAACTTTTAGAAATGCTACACGAAAGTGGAAACGTAAGGCGCTGTGATTCTGTGTTGTGTACAGAAAAGTTCACATAACGCAGAGGGAAGGCTGATAGCCGCAGTTTGTGCTGTTTTGGGGCCGTTTTACCCCGGACCGATCCCCGCAGCCCCACTGAGAGGAGCCCCGCACCTCAGCGTGAGGGCAGGAGGCGGCGCCCTCTCGGCGTCACCACTCGCACTGCGCATGCTCCGAGCTCCTCCCGCCCTCCCCCGTGGCCAGGCGTGACGTCAGGGGCGGGGCGCAGCGCTGCCAGCCGGAGCCTGCGCGGTTGCCAAGGCGACGGGCACACAACATGGCGGCCTGAGGCACGGCCTGAGGCACGGCCCGGCCCGCGGCGGGGCGAGCGCAGGATGAGCAGTAAGGGGCGGGCGGCGGGGTGGCACCGGGCCCCTCGGTCCCCTCCGGTCCCCTCGGTCCCCTACAGAGAGGCCGTGGCCGCGGGGTGCGTTGGCACAGCCCGGCCGGCGCCGTCCTCGCGGCCCGCTGCCGGCTCGGGGCTTCCCTGAGGGGCCGAATCGCGCCCGCCCTGCCCGGCCTTGTGCTCCCGCAGCCCCTCCGCGGGTCCCTCCCGTCGTTTCTGCCGAGTTTCCCCGTTGGTGTCCCTGCCCCACAGCCCCTGTCCCGCCCGGGTGTCGCTGCCTGAGCCGGCTGTGTGCCTGGGAACCGTGGCTGAGCCCAGCTTCTTGCTTCCTCTGCTTGTATTTCTCCCTTCCTGCATGTATCGGTGTTATATTTAAATGTCGTGGGTTTTCCTCCTCAGCATCTTGGCGTCCTGACAACAAAATCCTTACTTTTTGTTTTTATAATACCCCGTGATGGTTATTGCACTACTATTTTCTGTTATTTTGCATTGGATTCTTTAGTTCCAAACTGGGAGAGATTTTCTGTGCTCTCTAGGCACAGTAATAGCAGCCCAGTCTTTGCACTCCATCATTTACTCATTGTTTTCATTTACATTGTTCTTAATTGTCTGGGCCCTGTAATTTCTTGTTACGCTGCCTTTCTATTTAATAATTACTTCCTTGTCATTCTTGTGGCCACTTTTGCAGTGTTAGACTAGTGCATGGTGCTAGAACTTATTATAAATACCTTTGTACTATTTCGTTGACTTGTATGAAACTTTATTAACTTTATTCCATTTTCCTAATCCTCATCTACCTTTCCTCTAACTATTCCAAGCGCAAACATCTGTGTGTGCTGAAACAACAGGGAAGGATGTGAGAGGTTAGGTAATATCTAGATTGTTACAGATGCATGAAGGAATTATTAACTGGGGATTAGATCTTTATTCCTTAATGCGATATGCAAGTGTAACTCAAACACCGTTTACTAAGTTTCATGTGTGAAGTGCACCATGCTTGTGAAGTTTTACAAATTTCTAGCATTCTTCACCTAAGAGTACAACAAATTCAGGTAAACTCACTGGTAATTAGTTTGTCTTGGTAGCTCCATTAAGATGCGTAGTGTGAGATTGAAAAGCTTTGACCTGACTATTCTCTTTCAGTGTTTGTTTGAAGTTACAGTAATTGATGAATCAGAAGTAGATTTTTAAGAATCTTCAGAAATCTTGGCTTGTGGGCACAAATTCAAAATCTGTGTTAAATTGTTAGTGCACTGTAAGTCTAAATTGTTTCCATTCCTATTCTGCAAAAACTCATACTACCATTCCTACAATGCCTGAGATCCGTTCAGTTTCTCATTAAACAATAATTAACTTGTCATACGATCATTCTCTCATTTCCTCCTTGGGAGAAAAGCTCCCCCATCTTCAGTGATTTGTTTTGTTGAGAGTTTACATTTAATGTTATGCATCAAAAAGACATTTCACATAATGCAGTTTTCATTCCTGATTCTGCACTTCATTCAATTGATTGCAATTATTCTGGTCTTGGCTGATATTTTTTCCAGTGGTGGAGACACTGTTCTCTCTTCAGTGTCTGCCAGCTTAAAGCCTCAGGTGTTTGTTACTCGTGTGGGTTTTTGTTTGTTTGTCTGTTTGCTTTTTTTGTATGTCTGACATTCTATTGTAAAAATGAATGCATCTGTGGTGATTTCACTGTGATGAGCAGCTAAATTCCACTACAACTGCTCTGTCCCTCCCATCCCTCAAAGGAAAAGAGGGAGAAAATAGGATGGGAAAAGGCTCAAGGGTTAAGATAAAAGGTCAGGGAGATCACTCACCAATTACCATTATGGGCAAAACAGCTTCAACATAGTGAGATTTATGTAATTTATTCCCCAGTATTAAAAGAATAGAGCAGTGAGAAACCAAAAACAAAATAAAAACACCTTCCCCTCCATCTACCATCTGCCTACATCCTCCCTCTGAGCAGTGCAGGGGAATGGGGGCTGCGGTCAGTCCCTGATGCTTCATCTTCACCGCTCCTTCATGGTCCCTCCCTGCTCCTGCTCCACGCGAGGTCCCTCCCACGGGATGCCGCCCTTCCCAAACTGATCCTGCGGGGGCTGCCCACAGGCAGCAGCTCTTTAGGAACTGCTCCCACACGGCTCCATCCCACGGGGTCCATCCCCCAGGAGCAAACTGCTCCAGCACGGGTCCCCCACGGGCGGCAGCTCCCCCCAAACCCCCTTCTCCTGGCTGAGGGCACGGTACAAAGCATGCTACTTGCGGAGGTGTGTTGCTTAGTGATCACCTTGCTTAGAGCCCTCGTTGGTCAGTGCTCAGGTAACAGCCCCAAGAATTTATCAATCTCGTGGTCCCATCCCTGTCTTGGAGTCTCCGGTAGGTATTACCTCCTTTACCCATAATGATTTGCAGATTTGGTTTCTGCTTTTAAAGTAGTTCTGTATGTAATTGTCTGTATAAAGAGCATTAGACAGTGTAATTGCTTTTAAATTACCCCGTTTTTCTCCCTTTTTCTAATTTAGATGGCCTAATTTGTTAGTTGAAGGAAAAAGGGGGGAAATAGTACATAGGAAATGAAAAGGATGCTTGAATTTCTGGAGAAGATTAGGTTTTAAAACAGGTCTGGAACAGCACAAAGTATGATAATTGGTAAACCTAAGCAGGAGGTGATAAAAATGGGAAAAGCAAATGGTAATTCTCACAGAAGCTGTGCTTTTATATTGGAGAAAGCAGAAAATTTCCTCCTGCAAATCCTCCTAATTAAAATTCAAGCATTTGGATCACAAGGTAAAGAAAGACTTTTAAAAGGAGTAAGCATGAAAGCTGGGGAGGAGAAAAGGGATGACGGCCAGACAAACTGATTGCTGGTTGGAAGACATCCTTAGAATGTCCCTGCCTAAGTAACTTGTCTCTGCGAAATTTCTTGGCAGGCTCTTTCCACTCCGAGGCTGTATTTATACTTGTAAATTAAACATATCTGGAAATCTTCTCGGCCACAAAGAGCAACTGGCATGAAATGGTCCACATCTCTGCTAGTAAATTCTCTTATCCTCCAAAACAGGGCTGCAGGACAGAACCTCTGCTTGAGGAATGACCTTAGAAGGAGTCCTCGCCTGGGGCCAGGAAGGTGCCTAGGGGAGCCGTGGTTGTCCCAGGCCAAATGCGTGCCAGGGACTGTTGTCACAGTAACTACACAGACAGCTACACTTCATCCAGTTTGCTGCCATCAGCACTGCTTTGGACTCCTACACTAATTTTGAGTCCCATAAAGGGCTGAATATGACAGAAGAGGTTTCCTGCTCTGCCTCCCTCAAAATGACTGGGTTTGGATCTCTCATAAATAACAGAGCTATCTCAAAAGCGAAAGTAGCACAGAGCCAAGCAGGACTGTTTTTTGCTCAGATGAAATACGTGGAGGAATTAACAAGGTTAGAATCTGTAGGTGCTACACAGAAAGGGAAACAGGAGGACGAGGTGGGAGAGGGGAACCAGTCAGTGGGATTGGTAAAGAACAGTTGATTACAAAGGTGAAGGAGAATAAAGGAGGAAAGAAAAGAAATGTCAGGTTCTGAAGGAAATTAGGAAAAGACTGAATATTAAACAAAAGCATTATTTTTAACCTACTTGAAAACCCATGCCTGAAGTTAAGATGGGAATAAAGCTTTAAAATCAGAAACTGCTTTAAAAAAATTTTGAAGCAAAGCCAAGATGCACTTGCCTTTCAAGATACAACTTTTTTGTTGTTTGCTTGTGTGAAAGAGCAATCAGGTATGAGTTGCTAATGTGCTGGAGCAGAAAAAAAAGGTACGAAGTGGTGTGTGCAGAAGCATTGTATCTCTAAGCAAGGAGGTAGTAGTTAGCTCCTGTATTTTACTTTCAGAAATATGAATTCATGTAATGTGGGCAGCAAAACCTTTTCTGTTATTCATTATATTTTCTCTCAAATAACCAATGTGTTGCCAAAAAAACTTTTATTAAAAAAATAAAGATCCAGCTATCTGAATTTAATAAATCAATTACTGGTTGATACAGCCTTTATAACAATTTCTATTTTAAACTTACCGAAACAATATATTTTTGTTTTTAGAATACAAACTGGTTGGTAAGATAGGAGAGGGAACATTTTCTGATGTTCTGAAGACACTGAGTCTTAGAGATGGAAAGTACTATGCGTGTAAACACATGAAACAACACTTTGAAAGGTATGCATAATTATACTACTACAGAAAATCTTATTTAAATTTAGTGGGGAAATGCAAAATAAGGACTAAGTGAAGGTTTTTGAATATGCCTGTGTTAAAAAGGTTTGCATATAGTATACAGGTCAGCTGCTGCTGACTACAAAGGACCTTCCTATTTGGCACTGGGGTTATTTTCTTGAGTACTCTAACTGGTGTCCTTCCCTGTAGTAAATGCTGCCTGACCCCTGGGTTGAGAGTGAAACAAGAAAAACTGTGGCCTCAGTATTTAATTCCTGCCTTTTCAAATACACTGAATGTACTTGTGCTGGTTTTGTTCTGGCTGTAGATAACAGTAGAAGGAAATGTGCAAGCCCTCCCTCATGGACAGTATGTTTTATTTCAGTCTCACTTTGAGTACTGTTTTAAAGCAAGTTAAAAGCACTGGTTTTATCCTTACTCCATGTGTAGCGTTAGTTCTCCTTCATACTAGCATTTACATTTGATTACATCCATCAGTAAGATGCTACATGGGCACAAAATAGGTGTCCTTCTGTCAGTTAGGAAAACAGAGAAGAGGGTTGTGTGGAAGTATAGACATACACTTGATGTTCTCCAAATTTATATATGCACCAGACCCTGCCTTTTGGGTCACTGGCTTTGTATTCTCAGTTAAATGCCTTCATTTCCTAGTGATGGCAGTGGGAATGACACGTGTACTTAAGTAAAATGGGACACTGCTCTGAAGTGAAATTCACTACATAACTCAGAGCTTCAGAGACCATGGAAAAGTGGAGGTTGAAAAAACATTCCCCTAAGTTTAAACAAAGAAAACAAACCCAAATATCTTCAGTTAATGAAGTCATGTGACTTATGATTGTCTACTGTGTTGTTAGAGAACTGTTGGTCCATTTATACGTTAGCTACTATTGACCACATTTGCCCAGTTTATGGTCAAAACAGTATTTAAGCTAGCTGCTTAGCTACATACAGATCATATGCAGTCCAGTGGAAGGGAGTAACAAACTGACCTGCATTTTGAGCAGTGTGTTTAAAATGTCTCTTAGGCCTCTAACCCTTTGATAAGTTGACTGATGAATTCTTTTGATGAAACAAACTCTTCTAGCAACAGATAATCGTGTTTCAAACAGAATCTGCCTATCCCGAGTATTTCTCCCAGTTTCAAATTGGAAAATTATGATTTGGTGTTTAGCTGTAAGGCATGAGAAGGCTTACATATCCTTTTCTGATCTGTTCTGATCCATGAAATAGTGTGCAGAGCTCTGTTTCCTGCTTCCTCTTCAGAGTTTCTATTGCATGCAGTTTTGTTGTTTATTAAAGTCTAAGAGGGCAACTTAATATTTAAACACCAGTTGAATGGTATCCATTTTTCATGCAATTGCTTATCATTAAAACTTAATTTTAAGTATTACATTTGGCAAGGCTAGACCGTCACTTTCAGCATCGTGCTGAGCAATAATTGGTATGTATGCGACACCAGCTCAGAATGACCTGTATGATCCGTACTGGTAGGTGACACACAGTTCTTCCAGATAGCAGCTTGGCATGGTAGCTGGCATCTGGAGCAAAATGCCTTACTAATCATGTCTAGGTAAGTCCAGCTGCTCTGGACTGCAGGGAGGAATAAAGCCATTCTCCTCTTTACTGACTTGTTCTATAAAGAAACAAAGCAGGTCCTGCATTTGGAAGTTCAATTTCAGACTGAAATGGAGTGGGTTCTGACTGTCTCATGGCAGGGGAGAAAGACAATTATAATCTAGTCCCTGATTGCAAATCAGTCTTCTTTTTCTTTCTTTTTTCTTTTTTTTTTTTAATTCAATTTTAGTATTGAACAAGTGAATAATCTGAGCGAAATACAAGCACTAAGGAGGTTGAGTCCACATCCTAATATCCTTATGTTACATGAAGTTGTTTTGTAAGTATGGTGCATTCACTTCTTCCTTAACCCTTTATTTGAACAAGATCTAGTAACTTTTAGACCTAGAGGCAACCTGTAGGAACTTGACCAACAAGAAAGAAAAAACAGCAGATATGCCACATTCTAAAGTCATTGTGCCTTTTTTTTGTTTGGTTAAGAAAAGGTGATCTGTTATTGCTCTGACTCTTCTGTAGCAGACTGAAAAACACTTCAACATCCTTATTAAAATGACAGACTAGATATATTTTAAGCATCGCTAAACTTCATGGCATAATACATAATACTTGCTGGTGATTTGAACCCACATCCGATATCCAGGGAGTGCTTTAATGCATGGTGTCACGTCTACTGGAGACTATTTTGGTTAGGCACACTCATAGCTTATTTGCTGAAATGGGCCCTGGAACTACTGGGCTTTTGGGTTGGCCTGGCAGGTTGAAGTAGGCATCCAGGCAAAGCAGCAACTGTGTAGATACCCCTTTGCAAATAATAGAAGTTTAGACCTCTGAACTAGGCAGCAGCTGAGGTACGCATTTGAAGAGAGATCAGTCGGTGATGGAGTCGGGCTCCTTCTAGACACATTTGGCACTTAAGTGTCTTCTGAGGCCTCACAAAGTTTGAGTTTTATGACAGCATTTACTCCACTGCTGTGCTATACTTCCTCACTATGTAACAGGAGACAAGTAGTTCATTATTCTGAGTACTTGGCACAAAACTTGTTGAATGCCTAAAACATTTTTTCTAGCTCTCCAGCAATTCCTCTGCTCCAGCTTCTGGTACTGTACTGTTATCAGCAGACCCATTTAGCACAAATGCATAAAAAGCTGGTAATCGTGGCAGCAGCTCAGCTTTCTGGAATTGCCAGCTTCGGCTGCCGTGTTGTTAACCAAGTGTAACCCAGATGGCCAGCCAGCTCGCCTGGCTCTTTCACTGTCTGTAAACTGGATTGTAAATTGTACCCACAACCTTTTGTTGTCTGGGTTAATGGAGCATTGTAGAGGGGGTGTACTTTAATTCAATTACCTTCTTCTTAGAAAAACTGTGGACCTAAAGATATCTGCCTCTGCAGGGCAATGAAATGGAAAATAAGGTGTCAGATATATAATCGTATCTTGATAACGCTTAAAACTGCTATTGTCAACAAAACAGAGATTCCAGTCACAGTCAGGTACCCATTTCCACTGATAGTAATGACCAAGAGAGAAAGTGTTTCATGTCTGGCATAATGTTTCCTCTATATTATTGTAACATTGTACCATTTAATTTACTGGAAATTTCCTGATACTGAACAGCGTCACATACTCAGAAAACATGCATTCAAATACCTTCACGAGTAAATCAGGTATCTTAAAGTCTCCTAATTTGTTTCTTCAGTGATAAAAAAGCCGGCTCTCTTTCACTGATATGTGAACTTATGGACATGAATATTTATGAGCTGATAAAAGGTATGTAGCATGTGCTTAAGCAGACAACCCCTCCTTCTGCAGATCGCAAAGTGGAATTAACTGTATTGCACAAGGTTATTCACTGTTACATATTATGAAACTTTTAATGATTTTTTATGCTGTACCGCTTCATTCTATATTAATTTCCAGTGCAAAATACCCAGTTTAAAGCATGGATGCATGCAGAAGCTTTCTAAGGGGTCAGGTCAATGGCGATCTGTTTCTACAGTCACTTGAAAACAGGGAAACAATCTTCTCTACAAAACTATTACCTTATATAACAAAAATAACTTAAACAGGCTCTTGTTAAGTCAGGACTATAACGAAACAACTCGAAGATTATTCCCATTTGTTTCAAAGACTACTGAATCGATGAATAATGATTTTCAATTTTTGTGTCCAGTAAAGTGCCTTTAACCAAGCTTTCTTTATAAAATAACATAGTTCACTGAAAGCACCTAAATTTAAGAATTCTGGAGATGTTGGTCAAGGCAGGTGGAAGACCATAAATCTTAAGGAAAAGTTCCTACAGAAAGGTTTAGAACAAAAGCTAATTTAAAAACAGATCTCTTACAGAAACAAAAGGAGTTGGATACAATAAATGGAGGAGCACTTTCAATTTCAATAGTAAAAGAGGATTTTTTTTAATAATTAAAAATTTGTAATGTCTTCAGGGCTGGGAGATTCATTTCCGTAACTCAGCATGCAACTGATGATATTCTGTGCAGTGGAATAAAGACTTGCTCTCAACATTATGTTCATGACATTGAGTATTCAGATCTCTAACAAAAGTAGTAACCCTATTCTGACCTAGATAAAGAGCTGAGATTAAAATACACTTGCTTGACTCTGTAGATTCAGCTATGAATAATTGCTGCTTTTTATTTTTCCGTGATCAGTTTGTGAAGTTATTAAGTCAGAGCGAGTAGTAGAATATAGGAAGGAGCCCTCATTGACAGTGAATTAGTCCAGCGCATTAAAAACAATCCTGTAGCTTTTTCTAGGAAAGATACTATACTTCACTTATGGAAAATCAGAATGTTTAGATTTGCTCTTTAACTGCCTTTAAAAATAAATCCAAAACACCAAATTTCAGTTGGTATACATTTCTCAATGTTTCTCTTGTTCTTTTCATGTGACAAAACCAGCTATATTAAACCTTGTACACAGATGGAAACCTGCCTAATAGTTTCAGTATATTCTGCGTTTTTAATTTTAATATACAGTTCTTATCAAACTCCTAGGAAGATTTTCCATAGGAAGACTGTTTTCCAGCTGCTTTTTTTTCAGGAATTAATTCTGATGGTTTCAAAGCAGGCCTAAGTACGTGGTAGTTTTACCTTGCCAGGCAGCTGAACTCCACCACAGCCCCTTTCTCACCCTACAAAGTGTCAAAAGGACTATTTCTTATGGGGCAGAAATAAGATTTATTTTTTTAAAAAATCTCTCCCAGACAACTCTATTTATGGCTTACTGCAAAGTCGAGAAATATAAGATGTGGCAGCTTATTTAAAAGAATAATTATTTGGCAAAAATTCTGAGTTCATATTTAAATTGGAAAATTAATCTCAATTCTGAGCCAGAACACTTATTGACCGGGGATATCTGGGTAACAATGGAAAATAGGAGCTGCTTTTGAATTTTCAGGGTTACAATTTAAAGGAGTGCGGTGTTAATTTATAGAACAACTAAATTGTGTGTATTGGCGATGCTCTGTCTGAAAACAGTTTTCAGAGTGTACAGAAGTAGTTACGTTACAGACAGTTTGTAGTCTTTTGTATATTTCTACAGTATATAGTAATATAAATCTCTGCCATTTTCTGAATACTCTGAATCTTGCAAAATTAAATTCAAAAAAGGTGCAGGACAATTTAAAAAAAGCTTTAAGTTAGAAAAATTTAAAGGCAAGCATGGTTTGTACAAAATTTTGTAGTGAAGAAAAATAGGGATTGATTGTAAATTAATTTCTAGTTTATCAAGGTGAATGAAGACACTCTTAATTAGGAGGCCAGTTCATTGTAATGCCTAATGTTGATCCTTTTTTTTAACCCCTTTATTATACTGGCAACAGATTCATCTTATTTCAACTAAAGCTATTTGTCTGTACACGAAGTCATAATTCTGTAACTATTAATTTGTAGTAGTACCACAAGTCATTTCATAACTGAAAAACGATCTTGCCTTTTGTTTAATCAAGAACAGTTTGGTCATTTAAAGTGATAAAAAAAAAAAATAAGGCTCAAGAGATGTGGGGAAGATGGCCTGAAGAAAAAATTATTGTAGTCTTAAATTCAATTCATAATGACTTCCAAATGAGATTTGTATGGTGATAAAGCTGAAAGTAGAAAAGCATCTGCTCCAGATTTCAGTAGTTACCTGTAAAAAAAAATAAAAAATAATTGAGCATGACTTCTTTTCACGAAGGCTTGATTTTTTAAATACTAACAATAGTCCAAGTTGGGTTAAATAACAACACCTTATAAAAATCTTTTCTACTGTAAATAACAAAAAAACTGAATTTGAAAACACCATCTCTGTCTACCGAGGTAATAATATTACAATTTCCTCTGTAAATGGAGCTCTGTTTCAAGTGCTTTGTTATCTAATCCTGCTCGGTGGATTATGGTGGCTGGAGGAGCACGGCGAGCAGTTGGGGACACCAGTCCATTTGCAGTGAGTTTTTGCCCTGTTCATCTCCCTCCTCCTCCCACGCCAAGTACTCGCACTGCTGTCAGCATGCAAACCAGTACCTGTTCTGGTTTTCAGAAATGTGATCACTTCTGCCACTGTTGATGACATTGCAGCATTACATAAAGGCATTACAGCAAGATTAAAAGGCCTTTGGAGCCTGTAAAAGAAAAAAAGCTGTGTAGGTACTTTAGGGCTCTGAAAAACAGGTAAATGTTATAACTATGGTTATTGCACAACTGCAATAGCAAGCTAAACTACCTAGGTTAACCTGTAATTTCCAGCTCAATTGTGAATCACAGTTATTTAAGCATTGCACTAATTTGAGGTGATGGATAGGAATCTTGAACCTTACGGCCTGTTCCTTTTTTTTTGGAAAGGAAATGAGAGATTTGGAAGTGATATATTCCAGTTCTATTAGAACTTCGAGACAGATATTGCAAGAAAAACACACAGTAAAAGCTAAGGCAGTTTATAGACTACTGAATTGACAGCTATGTTAGCTGAACTATTCTGGTGCATACTGAAATTTAAATTATGTCTGAATTTGAGTGGAAAATGAATTGCAAAGCTAGCTATAAATGACCGAAATAGTATAATTGAAAAAGGTAATATCAGTTGGAAGCTGAAGATGTTTTTTTTCTTTGTATTCTGTTGTGTGTTAAAAAGGACTTGTACAACTTGAAATTTAATTCTAGGAAGGAGAAAGCCATTACCTGAAAAAAAAATAAAGAACTACATGTATCAGTTATGCCAATCTCTTGATCACATACATAGGTAAGAGACCTGCTTCGGCAACAGCTTTACAGTACATCATACATCTATTTCAGGGCCATCTCTAAGCAGCTGTGTATAACGTGAGGCAGCAGACTGCTGCAGGGTGAAAAAAGGCCATTGCCCAGGTATTTCTTTGCCTGTAGCAGAGCCCTGGAAGTCAGCAAGCTGGCAGCCAGTGCTGCACAGCACCCCATGGGAGCTCTGCTCTTTGTGCAGGAGCCCTGCTGGGAGCAGGGGGCCCTTTCCATCCTTTTCTAACCCTGCTGAGAGCAACACCAGATAGCTTGACACCTTCCTCAACTGACCCTTTCCCCATTCCTGTAGCTGTTGTACAACCATGGTGGTAAAATTCATTTTTTTACTATGCTGTTGATAAGGCTGAAAGAGTGTTAGTTGCTTTACTCTTTATATATTTATTTTTTTAAAATAACTGGAAGCACTGATAATTTTTATCTTTTCACTGAACTCTTCTCTCTGATCTGTTTATATTGGCACAGAAATGGGATATTTCACAGAGATGTGAAACCAGAAAACATATTAATAAAGGTAATTCTATTTATGTGAGAATATTTAACTGAAAGTGAAATATATTGTTATTTTTCTGTTTATGCTGAGAAAGTAATGCTTCTTCATTAATAAAAATACAGTTCTTAAATATATACAAACATTTGCATCTAATACTTCATTCCTGATCTAGAGGAATGAACAGGCAGGTTTGTTAGTGGCTAAAACCAGATGAATCTGATGTGTTGCAGCCTTCACGTGTCTATGCCAATCTGCATACTGGTCCTTTATCATGCATTAGTCCATATCTTCCTTTCTGTATTAACCTAGAAACAAGCAGTAGCATTCAGTTCTGCATCTCTTTCTTTCTACATTTAATGCCTAGGTTTAGTGGAAGTTGCTCATACTAAAAAGAGCAGAAGATACTGGCTTCTAGAAGATTTAATTGAAATCTATTCTGAGTTTCAGAATGGTATTTTACTAATGTCTGAAAACAAGGATTTCAAAATTCACTTTATGAAATTTTATTTTCTGGAGATAAATTTTTCTTTTAAGTCCTCTAAATGTGCGGGAGTACCCATTGCAAAGAAAAGCTAAGAGCACCTGTTATATCACTGCTAAACACAAGAAGTCTAAGAAAATAACTTAATCCAGATGTCCTATTTAGCAGTCTTCTCTTCAGTAATAGTCCATATGCTTTTCCATTAACTCTTAGCTCTGTCTTTTAATGATGAAGAGAAAGGCATTTGTGCATATTACGACACATAAATCTCTTCAAGTCTTGGAGCTACATGCTATTTAAATGCAGTTTTGCTGCTATAATACTCTCCCTGGGTTTTCTGAAATGGTATTTTCAATCTGTTGATTTCTTTTATGATGACTACTTCACACATTGAAGGAAAATCTTTGCTTGAATATTTCAGTCTTTCTAAATTGTCAAAATACTTTATTTTTGCAGCAGAATACCCTGAAGCTAGGAGATTTTGGATCTTGTAGGAGTATATATTCTAAGCAGCCCTACACAGAATATATCTCCACACGCTGGTACCGAGCACCTGAATGCTTGCTTACAGATGGCTACTATAGCTACAAAATTGATATGTGGAGTGCTGGCTGTGTTTTCTATGAAATCACAAGGTACAGTGTTCAGTTCCTTATTGTTAATCCAGAAAATCAAAGGTAAACAACTGAAATAAGGAGCACATGGTATAGGTAATCTGATCTTTGCTTCCACAGTTTTAGGGAAGTTCAGTGCATGATTAGTTTGCAGGGTTCACGAGGCACTTACTGTCCATTGTCTTTCTTCACCCTATGGCAGGTTAATAATAAAACAGTGGGATGATTAAGAGAACACAATCGCCATCAAAAATATTTACAAGAAAAACAGCATTTTTGAGCAGTCCCTCCCACCCCCTGACTTCATGTTTCAGTTGATAAAAAACGTATTTTATCTGCCGTAGCTGTGAAATATGGCTCATTTCCTGTCATGAGTATAACTAACCATCCTCAGTCTTGTTTATACACTTGATGGTAAAATTTTCCTCTTCTAATGAATTACTCTTCTGCAAAAACAGATGAGACCATAGAAGACAATCCCTTGAATTTACTAGTTTGGTTTATAAAATAGTTTGCTCAAGACCCTTGTGCCAGGACCTTCTGTCCTGGAATATTTTGAAGTTAGTTTCTGATGCAGCAAGAGTTCAGAAAAACCTGGCTTGAAGTCCTTCAAGATTTTCAAAGATGATAAAACTATGATTTTAACAAAATTGTCATTGGCCTTCAAGAAAAAAAGAAAAAATAACCACTATGAGTATTTCTCCATTATCTTTGTGCCCTAGCAACAGCAGCAGTTCTTTATTCTCCTCCCACACTACTGCCTCTGATATGCAACCAGGAGTGGTAACATTTGCTTTGCTTCTTTCCTCCTCCTCCACATGGCAAGTGCAGCTGCTGCCGTCACCACCACATTAAATGACAACCCTTATGCTTTGGCTGCTAACTTGTAGAAACAATTCTCCTTCGGTCAGAAAACTGTTAACAGAAAAATTCCAAATGTGGCAGTTCTCTTGCAAAGTAAATTGGGAACAAATGCTTAAAAAATGCCATGTTTTCCCATCCCAGTTTGAATCAGTGGGTTTTGAAGATTTGCAAGAAAATTACATGTTGCAAACTTTTTTTTTTTTAGGGTAAAAAACCTTAAAGATGTTTCCTCGTAATTTTAGCTTAATGAAACAAATATCAGTCTTTGCAACCACTGCATGTTTTCAGAGACCTAATAGATGTGTTCAGAAAGAAACAAGAAATGTTTATTGGAAGTCACTGAATTTTAAAAGACAGCTTTGCCAAGTGAAAGGAAAGTATGGACAGGTTTGTTTCTTTTTAGGAGGATCTTGCAGTTTTTGCTGTTGAACATTTGCATAAGCCTTTACACTTGAGACCACATTTTGTAAGGGTTTTTTAATCTTTTACTCAGTCATGCTTCTCTTTTACACCTAGTTCTTCCTTTCACTATTCCTCATAAACCTGGGCTCCTGGATGATGTTTCTTTTGTGGATTGCGCAGTTGTCCTTCCTTAAGTTTTAGCTTTCCATTTAGAGGCAGCACATTTTTGTAATTCACATAAAAACCCACTCCCAACTGCTTGTCTTGAGAGATACAGCTGCACAACATGAATCAGCTCTCTTTTTCTCTCCTTCCTCTCAAAGCTTTATGAAGACATTCAGAGAGATGTGCAGCCAGCTGTTTGATTGAATTTGCAAACAGTTAAAAGAAGTTTCTTCCTTCTTCAAAAAGGGATGAATGTTTTGTTTTCAAGAATCAAGTGGTGCTACTGAAGTGTTTCTTAAATTATATACCAAAGGAAATGCTCTGCTAGTATGGAAAAAGGGAACGTATGCAAGAAACAAATGATAGTGGACCTAACTTGTTGAGTCAGATTGCTCTATTGATAACAATTTTCAAGGACTCTGTGCAAGTTTTATATTAACTGAGGATCAAGCTCAGGAATGCAGTTCAAAATACCATCTTTCCAGTATTGCTGCTTGTAACGAACCTCCGTGTAAGAATGGAATGTTTCTTATAAATATGTATTTGTGTGCATACACAGCAGGAGGGACTGCTTGGTTCTGCTGTCTTAAAAGGAGGAAAACTCATTCTGTCTTCTGGGATCTGCCACTTCACTAGAAGAAAACAGAATCCCATTCCCATTACTTTTGACCAGGAGGGATGTTGTCTTTACATATTTTACTCCAAATCTGTGAGGAGAGGGCAATTACAGATTTCTGCTTAATAACCCTAACTATCCTTTCTGTCCAAAAATGCAGTTGTATTAACCTACTGCTCACATTATCCTTCTGTTGTTGGCTGGTATTAAACTGTTCACAAACAAATAACACAAAATTTTATCTTTCTCTTAAATTAAAAAATGTTAACCAAAGTGGCAGCTATGCCATTTAAACTACTTCAACTGTGTTCTGTAGTGTTAATACCATCTCTTACCTTGCAGTTTTCAGCCTCTCTTTCCTGGATCTAACGAACTGGACCAAATTTCAAAAATCCATGATGTTATAGGCACTCCTGCCAAGAAAACTCTCAACAAGTTCAAGCAGTAAGTATGAATTTCCATAGTTATTGGTCTCAATGTTCATATATTCAAAATACAACTGTAGAGCTGTGTACAATTTCTATACAGGGAACCATCACAAAAATCAAATTCTTTTGTGACAGCTGCTGACAGTGGTGTCTTCTGTCTACCCCCAAGCCCCAGAGACAGGCATGTATTTGTGACTCTTGTAGGCAGAGCAAAAGAAATTTGAGCCTACATCAATCTTACTTGGCCTTATTTCTGTAGTATCCTTAAGGTCAGTGGCATAAATTGTTAGGAAAGAAAACTTTTTTTTTCCAGGTGTTACTTACTTGCACCTAATAAGTGATTAACGAAATCTTAGACTAACTTCTTTCAGTCAGTTTTAGTTTCTCTATGAAATGCATGAATAACTGTTCTCAACTTGCTTAACACAGGTCAACAATTATGAATTTTGATTTCCCCTTTAAAAAAGGAAAAGGAATACCTCCTCTTGTGCACAATTTATCTCCTAAAGGCTTCTCTCTCCTGTATGCAATGATAAAATATGATCCCGATGAGAGAATTGCTGCCCATCAAGCATTACAGCATCCTTACTTTCAAGAATTCTGGCAAGTGACTTCAAATCATTTCAATCTTGACGACTACAGTTAAGAACTGGGGGGACACTGTGTGCTTATTATATAAGGTGGACTGAGGAGAAGTTCACTTACAGTGCTAATGTTTGTGTTGCTACACAATGTAATATCAGTCAACATAAGTCTTTGCACTGAGTCCAAACTTCACCAAAGCACAACTGATGTTTTTCCTCTTTTTTTTTTTTTTTTTCCTTTTTCCCCCAAACTTTGTAGGGCAGCTGATACACCGGCTTTGGCCACGCACAGAGTAAGATTACTAGAAAATACAGCAGGGCAAGTACCTCTGCATTCGTGGCAAATTTCAAGGGAAAGCCAAAAACAGGTAATATTTTAGTGGAAGCACTGCCATCCCACTTAAAGAAAGTAATTTGTGACACTGAGCTTGTTAGCTACAAACAAATGTTTTACTTAAGCTGATTACTTGGTTTTATTCAGTCTGCCCAGACACCAGTCTTTGCTGGGTCTGATGCACCTCACCATCCCCCCAGGCCCTGAAACACAGGTTAGAATTTAAAAGCTGTGATACCAGGTAGTACCTCTGGCAGACACTTTTCATAGGTGCTACTACTTAGAGTCAGTGCTGTGTTGTTTAAAATATGGTCTTCTGCTTTTTTTGCTATCTACACTTGACTTTTAAAAAAGTTTTACAGATAAAGTTGTAGCGGAGATAGAAAATGTATTTGTGCTCCCGAGGTCTTCAGTCTACATTTTGAATACATTTGTTGTTGGTTTTTGTTTCTTTGTTATCCTGTATTCTGATCATATCCAGACAAATACTGAATTTACACTGGCTGCTGAAAATCAGCAAATTAAAATGTGATGAAAAATTCTAACTAAATTCTAACTAAAACTTTGTTTATAGTCAAATTACATGAAAAATACTCAACATATGCAGTCATAGAGTTCATTCTGTCTGCAAGGTGAGATAGAAGTTAGTAAAAGTGAGATAAAAGTTAGAAGGTGAGATAGAAGATAGCATTGCATAAAAAACTCTGAAATTCATTTTTTCACAAAAGTTACCACAGTAGAGAAAAAATATATTTTCTGCTGTGCATTTGACATAGAAAGCATGAATCCGCTTTTCATGCAAACAGACACATTTTCCACCTGTTTAGTTCTTGGGTTCATCAACGTGAGCTTTGTAAGAAGCACAATAGGGAAAATTTGCAAAAAACATTATGTGAGGTAGTAATTTTTAAAAATAATTAATTGAAATAGTATTTGGCTGAGTTGTTTTGTTCTGTTGTTTCTTTTAGTTTTTTATTCTTTAAGATGTTATCAGAAAAAAATAAATCTCAATTTCTTAATTTTAAAAGGATCCTCTTAGGAAAGCCCAGGAAAAAACAAAACAACATGGACCCCCTTGTGGAGAATTACCAATATTAAATCTTTCTGGAGTAGCCAAACTGACTTCTTGTCCTACACCTACATTGCTGTTCAATTTTTCCTACGGCTAAGGAAAGTGGGGAAACCCCCGCGTCACAGTCTGTTAGATTTATGGGATCAAATATCGAGGTATAGACTCTAACTTGCTCATTAAAGTATAACAGCCAAATATGTTTTACAGAGCACATTTCAAACTTCTGTTGTTTCCTCAACAGTCTGAGAAACAGAAGGCACGTAAGTCTTCCCTGAAACATTTCCACTTACCTGCTATAGGACGAAGAGGAGGAGGTAACTGACCACCTTGTAAAGATTTTGGAGGTTGAGGAAAAGAACGGCTATGCAGTGAGTGAAACAGCCCCGATCATGCTGTCATTGGTAGAGATCTAACAAAACCAACAGTGCGTTATTTTGTGTTTCTGACAATTTGTCAGAAAACCCCACAAGGTTATAACGGGCTGCTTACCTAGCATTTTGGTATTCTGTTCCTGAAGACTATCAATATTTAATTAAAGCATTGTTCTGGCTGAGCTTAGCGAGCACTCTGTATTGAACTTACTAAATACTTTTTCCTTTTATAACCTGATGGAGGAAGGGGTTGGTTAAAAATAACATGAAAGGATTTGTTGAGCTTCAATATAAAAATGCAATGTTGCCTAAAAAATACAAGTTTTCATATTATTGAATAAATGGCAGCTAACTTGATCTATCATCTTATATATATTTTTAGATTTTTTCCAGTGATTTCTGCAAGGTATTTACCTCCTGTATTTAATAACTTCAACCTCAAGCTTTATTGAGAACTTGCAGATTGTGCAATCATGAGATACTTGATTTTGATACAGTTAATATAACTTCAATATTTTTAGATAACTATTTACTAGCTAAAAGATAAAAGCAACTTTTTGTCTGATTCAAAAATAAATCAGCTTTGGCCAGTTTTCTTCAAACAGTGCTCTTAAACAGAAGTTTAAACAGTGACTGATACTGCAGCTAGTTGCTTGTAAGAGCAATACATGAATGCATTTCATTATGTTTCAGAAATTTTACAGATCCTCAGTAACAATTTAATATAACGTTATTGCTCTCTAGCTCTTCACAAAGCAAGTGTTTAAAAAGTATTTTTATCATACTTGGAAAGTGTTTATTAGAATTTGATACCATTGATTTTAAAACTCCTGAGATCTCCTTAAAAAAATGCAGTCATTAACCTGATGTTTTACAGAACAGTTTTACTATTTAAAAACCAAATGAGTCTGTTTGTGTGAGGCCTGCTTTGCTAGGGTTTAGAAATCTTTGGTCAGCCGGTATAGCGGCAGGACAGGTTTTGCAACCAACTTTTTTTTGTTAGTCCTAAATTACTCTGCTCATAATTGTTTTTTTCACCCACCTTCCTGACACTGAAACCGAAGAGCTCTGGGCCATCTGCTGCTGTGCAACAGCTCTCTGTGTGACAAGAAAATGAAAAGCAACCAATGCCAGATCAGCACTATTGCTCAGCGACAGGGAATGGCCTGTGCTGCCTAACTTTTTTGTCCCTTTACAGAAACAGCGAAACAAAAATCAGCAACTCGATTGTAAAATCTAACTCAGGCAGCAAAAATCTAGATTTGTGACCGACATTACTGCTGAACTATTTACCCATCCTTTAATTTCTTGTTCTTTTCCTTTTGGGTTATGAGGCAGTCAGCGATACATTTTCAGGTTTTATAGTCATCAAGGTATTACAGCTTTGGTTTTTACTTTTGTGGTAGATTCACCACTGCACAGCTTGTGGTGATGAGAGGGGGGTGGTTGGCGATAGGCACAGAAAGGTGGCAAAAGGCATGTTGTGGTAGATAGGTCACAGCTGCACACGAATGAGGTCACAGCTGCACATGATAGTCAAGTTCTTTATGAATTCTTTTGAGATCTACCACTTAGAAGTGTGTGGCTATCTAATGATTATCTTTGTGTTTTGAAGAAGGAATTCTTTTCACATACCAAGGAGCAACGTGACATTACTAGAAAATTATTTAAGTGTAAAAATGTCAGCAAGCTAAATGTTTATGTGATGCATACCATGGGAGTCATTTTTTGGTTTGATTCAAATTTGACTGTGCAAGGTGAATATCTTGTGCCTGCAGCATGGCCTACTCTACATTTGCTTGTTTTACTCCATTTCTTCCTAGCAAAATTCTAGAATCTCAACAGGAAGAATGGAAATACCTCCCAGTAAATTGTAAATTACATAAATCATCGTAAATTACAGCACATGAACAAGGTTCTGCAGGGTAATCTGTATTGCTGCTACTCATCCTGGGTATGCCACAGAAATAGCAGCTTTCTCTTACTAGGATTAAACAAATACGTAAACAGCCTTAGCGGCAGTTGTGCAGTAGACCAGTAGAACACCATAAAACAGGGAGAATTAAACAGCGGAATGCAACAGTATAGGTAGAGGCTGTTTCTCATTTTATTGATACTCGTACTGGATAAAGGTCATCCTTCCTCCAGTTCTAAGCAAAAAATACACTCCTGACCAGGATTATCTTGAAACTGCAGCAGGAGTACATGAAGACAGAGTGACCAGCCCAGGTGTACTGTTGTGTTACAGTTATCTCCCCATGTAGTCACGCTTATATGTTAGCAGCTCATATTGTTCAAACAGAACAGAGTTTGAACAATAATATTTGTTTGAATATCTAGCATTAATTTACAGACACACACAAGTAATTTAAAGGTGTGATGCTAAACGTAGGCATTAAGGATGGCAGGTCTACAGGCAACATAGCGTAACAGTAAGCTCCAGCTTCTTACCTTTTTTTACCACAGGTTTATCCAGTATGGTTTTCTGCTTTGTTTTTTTCCAAGAGGGGAAGATGGTGAGTTGCTGAGTGTTACCCATTTGGGGTTAAGCATGGTATGCAAAAGTAAAACTGGTGGTCTAAAATTAGGTAATGTATCGGAGGGATCTTGCTCTCCACAGTTAGGAATCTGTGACATGATTTTTAACAAATCAAGCATGTATCAGTCTGCAGATTCTTAAACCAGAAAATAATTAAAAAAAAAAATCCTACAGTTGGTTGATCATCCAAACCAAGAGCTCTCTTATCTCAGTAATACAATAGGCAAAGTACGTTCTTTATGCAGATACGTTAATTGTATTGATAGCTTCCTATAATCTTTTTTTTTCTGGAAGTTTCAAACATGACATGCTGAAGTTTAAGTGGTTTCATTCAATAATTCAACCCCTACCCCTCAAAAGAATTCCCTCAGATCTTGTTTTCACAAGATATTTTCCTGTTTTCAACTATTATTGCAACTTCTTGCATCTGTGAATAATAGCAGGTAGGTAATTACCTTATTCGTACACCAGGAAATAGTTACATTTGTTGAAAAATATGAAGTCAGAAATTTTTGTAGCTCTAAACTTGGAGAGAAAAGGTTATCAGAGTAGTATTTTGTATATCACCAACAATTCTGTCTCACATAATAAGTATCTGGGGCTGTCAGTCTGTTGCAATGAAAAGAAGGAAGTTCACATTCAGCAAATTGCCTCTGCTATGAAAACTGAGTATTTCAATTGAATTATCACTTTGAAAATATTTTTTTCCATTTCTTTTAAGCTTTCAGGTGGGTCTTACAGAGCTTGGTACTTACAGTGCTTCATAGGCATTTATTGCATAACAAGTTCTTTGCTATTACTCTTCTGGAGACCACTTACACTTTTCTGACTGTTGGATTATTAGACAATCTTGAGTTTTTCCGATTTGCTTTATAGTTAAAATACATTCAACTTTAAACTATAAATTGGGAAGTATTGTTTCTACCACCATTCTTCGAGCCAAAATTCTGCACTGAGATGACCTGTGTTCTACCCTTTAATTTTTTTCTGTAGAACTCTAAAGTTCTCTCCAGGTAAGTCATTAGCATCCCTTTTCTTCCTAGAATCTTTTTTTTTCCTCGTATGGAAGAAAGAATGGGATGGATAAGTTCAAGCTTTCAGGTGCCTGCAAATGGTAAAAATGATGTTCCTGAAAAAAAAAACAACAAAACCAAGACCAGACTCACTGTATGCTATTTGACTGTGGTTTGTAACAGAGATGTACTCTGCAACCAGAAATGTAAGTAGCTGCCACTATTAACCTCAAATTGGATACTATGGTCCTTCCGGTACTGATTTTTCCTACAGCTGGTAAAATACAAAGTCTTTTAAAGAGACTATTTCATCTTTTCCTCAACTGTTTCATTTTGACTCAAACCATATGAAGCATGCACATAAAGAACTCTACAGGGAGGTAACTACACTAGTTCTCAGTGACAAGGTTTATCTGTATTTTAACAGTTAAACCAAATATGTCAATAAACATTTCTGAACAATAATGCTGCTCAGTTTCAGTATTTTCCCTATTCCTTGTATTTTAGAAGACTACAAGTAGCTGAGAATTACGAAGTACAGTTCTGTCTTTAACAAAGTAGACAATCCAAATGCTGGTTTATGCATACATCTGGCAGTCTCCTGTATGCTAGCTGCCTGAAATGAATGGGAGATGCAGTTGTAAGCAGCTACTGCAGTTGTTTCTCTACAACTTTTAATTCATTTCCTGAAAAACACTAGCTTCTCATGCCCGAAGGTGTCTAATGTTTACTTGCAATGAGAAACATTCTACCCCCCTCCATTGCTGCAGAGTAGGACGGGCAGATTTTGCTGAGGTGTGCCCTCACATTGTGGCCTACGGTTCTGCTCTGCCTCCCTGCAAGACTCAGCAACAGGCTGCCTATTTCTGCATAGGAAAGGAGGAAAGATATGATTGGTACTTTTATCATCTGTCATTGCTGGGGCTGGATGTGGAGCAACATCTTCTGTTTTTTTTTGTTTGTTTTTTTTTTCCATCTTCACAAGAAATACTGAAAACAATTTAAGTGTTCTGTTACTGACTGAAAATGTGTGTTCAGACAAACAGCATTAAACTACACAAACACAGATACGTATTTCCATTGTACTTATCAAAGTGTTGAATTGTAAACAAGATGCCTGTAAACAGGACAAACAAGTTGCCTCAGAAACCCAGCTGCTCCTACATGTTGATATAATTTTAGTTTGCCAGGTCAGAAGGTGTTTGTCTACTACTGTCGGAACAGTCACTTCTGAAGTCCCAAGACAAGTATACAACATTTTGCAACTACAAAATCCTCATCCCACAAAGTTGTCTGCAAGATTTCTGCTACACGAGGGATTTGGAGATAAACCACTAAGAATGTGAACAGACCACCATTACTTCATTTTCCTAGTCAAAACTCAACTATATTAAATATGAAGCAATGTTCTAGGTAAGACTTTTTAAAGGAATTTGTTCTACAAAGTTTAGATTATATTTCTGTACCAAACATTTAATTCAACAAAGGATTGATTACATCAAAGCTGATCAAATTTGAACAGAAAGTAAACAAAAATGCATATTCAAGATAGTTTAATATGTATTTTCTGAATTAGAAATATCACTTTCTTAAATGAATGAGAAGTTCTAGTGTAATGATCCATTACTCCCCTCCCCCACCACTGAATTACATTATTTGTACATATAATACAGAGCTGATTGCAGTTGGAAACAACAATATTAAAATAAAGGTTTAATAGATACAAAGGATCTTTTCTCCACAACATAGTTTTTCTGGTGTTTGGACACCAGATTTAAAGTAATTTTCTATTAGCATTAAACTATTTAAGTGCAAAACAATTTTGTTTTAAAAATCTAAGATTGCAGCATCCATCTTCCTGAATAACATTTTGAAGCCAGAAAGTAATGACTTTCATTTTCTACGAGTGCATTCCAGGCTGTCTTCTAGCCATCTCTGGTTAAAAAAATCAGTGCAAAATAAACAATGGTGAAGTACTAATTTAACCATTGAACTTACTTGGATTTAAGAAACATACTTTATTTTACACTATATATATATATCTTTTATTTATATATTTATATATATAGATTAAATTACACTGGACTTTAAAAGTATAAAGAAAACCAAAAATGTTACTATTTTTTTTTCTGCAGCACCAAAGGAAGCTTTTTTTTTTGTTTTGTTTTTAAATGAAAACTCTTCCTTGGGTGAGCAGCTAGCAGTAGTAGCTGTAATAAGAACTCATTACATTATTCCTTTGCAAATTACTATGTGATTCACATAATTCCATGTTTACACTCTGCCACATTATAATTTGTGATGCTCTTTGCCTGAAGAACAGCTCCTGGTTCCATTGTCATTACTTCTTGTCCTGTGTTCAGAGATTTGCTAGCAGTAGTGTGATGGCTATACTACAGTTCCACTTGGAGAATTGGCCTGGTTTTGGGATGACAATAAACCCTGCAAACAAAGCAGTTTACATTAATCCAGCAAGAGAACCTGACAGTAATTTTATAAAATTATTATCCTGAAGCTAAAGTACAATTTATTTTTACCACCACTTGCTTACTGTAAGTATCAGCACCTCCCCTCCTACAAGAATCTAAGCCACTGTTGTATCAGTCAAGCAGCACACACCAAAGCGTTCAGTAAGGCAGAAAGTGCCTGTGTTCCTGACACACGGTGAAACTGATGCGAGCACTCGATTTCAGTCTACCTTGCACTTTGAGTCATTGTGAGCTGTACAACTTTAAAAATCATACACCAAAAAAGTGATCATCATTTTATTAGGGTAGCAACAAACAAACCTATTTCAATATTAACAAGTTTGACAACTAACCTGATACAGGGAAATGCTCAATCTCTTATATGCCACTGAATATTACAAGCTTTAATTAGAAAAATAGATTATCTAACCAAATACTTAGTTTGGTAATTGTAAAGGAGAATGAAACACGAAGTAGGAGTTCAGTAGAAGTTTCCCATTACAATTTAAGCTTGCATTCAGGATTTTTTTCTTTAAACTGCATTACCGTTCCAATAAATGGAGACTGACTTTATTTCAAGCATAATGCTGCTACTGTGCGGCACCCCAAGCTAGACAGGGGTTGCGGTTCCATATTAAGGCAACTATACTGTAGGCGACAGATCCCAGTTTTCATTTATGTATAGTAGCCCATTTTTAGTTATTCACATAAAAAACGTATGCCAGACTTATATAGGAAAAGCTTAATATCAAAATGCAATTTCATCTTCTTGCAATGTCATTGTTATAACAACTGCCAGCAGACTTGCACCACCACGGCAGCTAAGCTGGAAGCTTATGAGTATCACCAATGAGTATCATGGAGCAACTCTTACTATGCAGGCATGGCAAATGCACTTTTAGCAATTCCGCTAGATAGCTACCAGCTTAATTTCTTACCTCAAAATTAAGATCCTGTGACTCAGATCCATCAAACCAGACAAGTTCAGGCAGCAACTAACATAGAATGCAGAATGCATACAGCTTTGGAATCTACAGGAGCTCTTTCTTGCTTGGATCCCAGAACTGAAATGTCACTACTGATGGAAGAAAACCCTGACCACAGACAAAGAAGTGGAAGGAGGTCTGGATTGGCTGGATTCAAGTCACCAAGTTTCGACTAAAATCAAAACTTTTTTTTAATTAAAAAAGAAAACCCCACATCTATTCCACCAATTCCAACACACAAATCCAGATATATTTGTAGGATTTATAGCAAAGTGTGTGGGCACGTGTGTATGTATACACTTTTATATACATTTATATATAATAAATGTATGTGGCACTTATGAATATCTTGTGAATATCTGGTTCAAACACTGCTGAGGTAGACTGATATGGGTTGGTCTTTAAACCTGTGTGTCATTCAGGCTTTGCAAAGATACTGCATATGTAACAAGAAGAAAAGACAGTTTTATTGTTATTAGTTAAGGAGTAGCAAAAAGGTAGAATTTTAGAGAAAACAAGCTAGTGAAGCATTTCTGAAAATGTTTATCAAGAAAGCTTTGTTTAAAAGAGATGAAGACAAAACAGAACTCCATAATTTGCTTATCAAAGCATTCCTCAGAAGTCTATTAAATCCAGCAACAACTGGAAGGTCATTCTCACAAGAAGACTACGTCCACTGAGCAAGTTTCACACACCCTCAAAAAAGATGTCCCAAAAGTCTTATTTTCAGTCTTTAATAAATCAATAATCCAAACTGTTCATATGCAAGCATTCTTTATAAGCACACACAAAAAAGTACTAGGGATGGTGTAATATGAAGCCTTTTTCAACAGGATCATAGCCATGCTACATAAGCAGAAGAAATAAGCACTATTCTACCACCACATTTACACTGTAATGCAGCTGATTGTTGGCAAACAAAATAAAGCCACTCATCCTACAGCTGCTCTAGAAACAGGTAGCACATACTGACACGTAGTGTGAAGCCTGATTCCCCAAAAAACTACTAGCAACTCTGGAATTTAAGTTCCAAGACTAGGAACAAGGATTTGCTCAGTCCTGGTTGCATCTCCCACCCCATGAATGCTTCCTGGTTTAGAAAGCCAGAGCACCGTGCTTTGGAACTCAGATTTCAAGCCTTGTTCTAAATGAATTCTACAACTCTGGGCAGGCAGGGGAGAGGGTCAGTAAAGCGGAAACAATGTCAGGATCAAGACATTTCAAAAACTTCCATAAACTTAGGAAGCAGCACCTTAAAACTTGGTCAAGCTACAATGAGGAGATGGCCATCCCAGAGGTTTGCTTGTGTGACAGAGATCAGAAATGCTGCAAGTTCTTCCAAGTACTCAACTTCATAAGGTGACCATCTGAGACCTCAGATGTTCATATAAGGAAAGCAAGAATAAAAATTTGGCATTTAGGCATAAAAGTTTTACAGAATTGAGTTAAGAGTTCTGGGTGGGTCCTGAGTAACAAGAAAGATCCCATGGAGCTTTGCCATTATGAAGAAGTTAAGTACAACATAGTAAGCTCTGGAAAGCCAGTTTTAGAAAAGCATGTGACAGCTGGAAAAAAAGCTAAGTTTTCATACAAAAATTACCATATAAGAGTCTGGTCTGTAATCTGGGTGTGGGCCTAGAACACTTGTAATGACATTCTCTGGGAATAATACGAGTAAGGTTATTAAAAAAAAAAGTCTAGAAAGTTCCTGCATGGATACATAAGATAAAGAAGTTAGCCCGCGGTGCTTTCTGTGGCTAAACCACGCAGGTGGTGAAGGATGGAACAAAAGCTGCAGTAACTCAGAGCAAAGCTGCACAGTTTAATAGCAGTGACAGAAAACGTGAAGGATTAAAACATGAGGAATTGCGATACGACAGCTCCGGATCTGCTGTGCTGTACATTGCATCAGCTGAAGTTTAAGAACAAACATCACACTGAGCATGCAGCAGAGACACATTAAGAGACTGTTCAAAAACAGTTTTGAAAACAAACACAGCCTTTTATTAGCAGTATTATTTTGGGTCTAGCAGGGGTTGGAAATGGAGCCAAGCCAGGAATTTGATAAGGCAACCTTCATTACAACCTCAGCAAGAGTCCTACAAGTAGGTGTTGCATCATCTGCCATCTCAACAGCATACTCTGCTGTTCGAATACTGTTCGAACACACTTCTCTGGTGGAGGACTGTCGTTTGCCTTATGACAATTAGCAATGTAAGAGCATTAAACACCATTTCAGCAGTGCTGCTAGGGCAAGCTGCTGCACCACATTAATCTATGCATGCTCTCTGACTTCCCAAAACTCACAGGACTTTGCATATTTAGTAAAAACCTTAAGACATACTGGTAGGCAGAAAAAGCCGTAACAAATATGATAGGTAAGATTGCTCCCATCCGAGTTACAGAGCAGTCACACCCGTGGTCTGTTCAGAAAGACCTGCAGCAGCGAGAGGACCAGCCCTCCTCACAACGCATGAGATTGCAGGGGTTTGTTTTTCAAGAAGTTCCACATATGCACAAAGTTTGTTTGTTTGTTTCCCCAGGCAATAATACGAAACACAAAGTTTCCCAACAGAAACTAAGTGTGTGAGAGATCAGGACACAACTGCTGCATTTAAAAAATGAGCCAGGAAGACACTGCTACTTAGAATAAAAGCCATCAGTAACTACAGACTTTGTATTTTCTTCTTGTAAATTAGAACAGAACTGATTGGAGCCAAAGATTTCACTAGTCCAGATATTAAACTGCAAGTTCGGACACGTGGGCAGGTTACTGTAAAGTTACTGCTTATGTGCTAATTCACAGCTCTCTTGGCACGCACTCGGTGCTCGCCCTGGACAGTAAAACAGAGCAGCTGCCTCAGAAACATGCAGGATGTCAGAACCCTGCCTGTCTTTCCTGCTGTTTTGAAATTGGAAAGTAGAAAGAAAAGCAAACAGTCCACTGTAACAAATACAACAGGTATTAAACAAGCCTTTTAGGCAGATACAGGCTAAAAGGTCTCACAGTACACTTCACTAATGCAATTAAACCAGCAACAGCTGACCTAACGAATGCCCATGCAAACATGGCATTGATTTGTTAAGCCATTACTGCTATTCAGATAATAATTGCATTTATTGTTAAGAGTATTCCACATGTAGTTTATTCTTGTTCAAAATCGTGATATTCTTGGAGTCACTTGAAAAAAGGTATCTGGACTGAGACAAAAGAGCCCACAGTCCAATGCAGAATCTGAGCAATAATATGCTCAAACAGAATGAAACTGTTCACATTTGAAATCCTGCAGTCGAACCAGCTTAATTGGATTAAGATTTGTATGAACAAAATGTCCACGTTTCTTACGCAGATGAGTCAGCACTTATTAGCTTAAGTCTTTGAACTACTTATATAGATTAAATCAGATAGTAAATCAGTGAGTCAAAATTGAGACCATTCAAGGAAGTGCCTGCTGAACATTAACAAAACATACTATAGAGGAATGTGTATGGATTCAGGGGGAAAGAGCCAAGCCAATACCCATCTCTGCATTGCCTATCTGTTCCCTTTATGTAGGTTTAAATGCATTATTTGTCTTTGGTTGGCTTTACTATTTTTCGTGGAGTTACAGAAAAGTAAATTCTTAAAGCATACGACATACCAGATCTTGTAAAAGCACGTAGTAGCAACAGGGAGACTGCTCGTGCAACTTCACTTCTGTATACGTAAGGAGTTTTTCTTCTAAGAGAGGTGTATCACCTCTCAACAAATCACCCTTTTTGTTGCTCATGGTCAACAGAAAGAAAAGTCAAGGCTGACAGAAAACTAGCAGCCTAGTAAAAAAAAAATCTTAACCTATAGTGATAGTTGGCAGTGGAAGATAAGCATCTTCAAGAGGAGAAAAAAATAAGATGCAACTAAGTGCACACTGGGAAAAGCACAAAAGGCTTTACCAACAGAAGCTGGATTTGACTCAGATGATAGGAACTTAAGCTTCATTTAGGTAGTACAGGCTCCAATGGTTAGGAACAGTTTCTCTAGCCTCTTTAAACTATGGTAAAGTTTAAACTTTTCAGATTAGGAAATAATGAAATTGAAATGAACCAGGAGAAGAATTGGGGAAGAAGCAGATGACTTAAGGCAACCCCATTTTGGGTAGTTGTAAAGTAAGCATGATCACAGAATGAGAAGTGATCAAAAATGAAGTTAGTAAGTTGATCGGCACCTACCTAAAATCCAACTTTAAATACAGAAAATAAGGTTATCAAACAAGTTATTTCCTTGATAAGTTTGTGCAACATTATACAATAAAAGCAATAAAAGCAAGAAGATACTTCCATCTTCCGAGACATTTTTTGTCATCTTCTGTCACTACAGAAGGTGTGGAAGATGGTTAAATTTCATGTTCACACTGACTGTTGAGAAACTGGTTTGTACAAGCAATTCTTGCATCATTTGATGTAATCAGCTGTTCACACAAGCTTTCAGGACAGATTTTATTTTGTTCATCCATTGGCTCCTGTATATTCTTAAATATACATATATTACATGTAGACCATCGTAGTGGTCAGTCAGTACCTCCTGAAGTACCAAATATTCTCAAGTTCTTACAAGATAGATAGCTTATTTCCTCAGCTTTAGACTACAGAGGATTTTTTTCCTAAGAGATGAAGAGTTCTACCTCAGTTAGGCAGGACTCAAAGTAAGTAACTTTTTCACTGAAATTTCTCAGAAGTGCCTTTGAAACACTGAGGTGTCACTTTTTTGGTTCCTTCAGCACACAGTGCTGCTGCTGCAAGGGCGAAATTTGCTCAGATACAAGTGCACCTTCTTTTTCTTTGCCTAAATTGGTCTCAAGAAATTTTGTAGCCAAAGGCTTAGACTGTTCAGATGAGTTCAGATAAGTGAAGTTCTAGACTAGCCAAAGCTTTTCTAGACTGAAAACACTTGAATCATCCAAGCGAGCCATATCCTCAGGGCTGTAAATTCAGCATTCTTTAGGTAAATGGCAATGTCTAAAGCTGGAATAAACAACATACCCTGCACCTGAGTCCACAGAGGAAAGAGCTCCTGTAGAGTCCTAGAAGGAAGAGAAAACACTCAGCCCCAGCTCGTATCTGATGGCTAGGCCGAGCGAATCTAGACACATACATGTCTGTGTTTTACTGAATCTGAGTTTGAACAAATTTGATTTTTTATAAGTATTCTATTTCATATTAATCTAAGTCCTAGAAAAATATCAGAAGACATGACCTTATCAGCAAGATTTAAACATCAAAAATGTATGTATTATCTTGAGTTGAAGTGAAACATTTACTCAGAGCAGGTTACAGGATGCAATCAACTTCTTACTTCAAAATATGGCAAGTTAACAGTTTTCATTGTGGCCATTTGTTCAGCACAGTATGATAGCAAAAGACCACCTAAGGACTGCAAGATAAATTAAAACTCAATGTGGAAAAGGACTATTGAAAGTTATCTACATTTACAGTTCAATCACACATTTTTATTTAACATCAGTATACAGAGGACAACCCCAGCAAGTTATTTTGTAATGTCAAGTATTTAGTAAAGTTCTTCAGCTGTAACAGTGACAATAGAACAGCTAAAAATAAGCAGTATGAAACAAACATGATTTTCTTAAAATTATAAATATACCAACAATACTTCTTAAAGCTTAATTATTGCAACAGTTAAATTAACAATAGTTCATGTTAGAAAGGCTCTATGAAATTTATTCAAGTTGTCAAGAAATTAGATGGAAGTGTAAAAAGGAAATACATATGAATTTTACTTTTGATTTTCACTAAAGGTAGTCAATACAATTTTGTACAGTATCACCTAACATGTCAATCTTTAACAAACTCCAGTATACAGAATTCATAAAATGCAGAAAAAAATTGTTTAATTTTTACATGTAAATTGACAGTAAATTAACTGACACAAAATTTATTATCGTAACATAAGCAGGCCAGCATTTTAAATATTAATTTAGAAGCTTTATATTGTTAAAGGGGCAGACATATACAGTCATTCCAAGTACATAACCAAATTGTAAGAGGTGATAATTCAGAACATGGGTTTTCTAAAAAGTGTTTAGTAAAAGTCATGTTATTTCCTAATCCAGACATCCTCATCATAAAGCCTTTACAGGGTTATGATCTTTCCTGGCTTTACTGGAGCCACTAGTCACACCTCCTCACACACGCACACGCGCAAACACACATACCTTGCTATAAATATCACACCAGTGTACTAGGTTTAAATTCACCCTGATAATGCGGGTATGCTATGTGCAACTTTGCTATTATGCACATTACAGAAAGCTTCAAATTTCAGCATGGTAACCTGAAGTCATATAGCTGTGTTTCAGTTTTACTATAATCATCCCTGAAGTTTATACAGATACCGTATCACGTTGAAAGAAATCTATTTGATAGTACTTAAATACCAGCAATTGAACTTCAATTGTAATGATGAAATGCTCCTTTCCATTGAGGAAGAATTAGTATGTATAGCTGCTCATCTCACTCAAATATAGTACATGAATGTTTAAGTACTTTTACTAAAACAGAAATCATACTAAAACATGATACTGTACTACAATTGTAGTTAACTAGAAAATTCAAGGATGTTATAATTTAAGTCTAAATTTTCCTGTACAATAAGTCAAATAAATAAATTCCATGTGCATTTGTTTTACAAAATGGTAACATGTTTGTCTTGCTAGGTTATACACTGCCATTTCACCTGTTCATAGCTCTGTCCAATCTTACCTTGAGCTTTCTGACAAAGGAAGCAACTAATCAGCAGCTTTCATTTAGATAAAATGGAGTCACTGTACAAGATGAAAAATTAATCCCTAAATCAGACACAGTAATCATATAGATTGTTTCTCTGACCATTAAGTTCAGAGAAAACCTACTTTGCATATGCAGGTACCACTTTTTTCTTTCAGTAGTGTTTCTGCTTCTGCAGTTCTTATAATTCAGTTTGAAGTAGCTATAAAGGTAACACATGAAATTTACCTTGGTTCCTTTAAGATGTTTTTCTCTTACATTTTAGGATTAATACAACAGTTGTACAATCCTATTTACACTTTCTATTGGGGCTGGGCAAGAGGGGGAAAATGAGACAGCTAATGGTCACCATGTTGATTAGGAAGTCCATACTCTTGTTAAGGCAACCTACTTTTCTCACTACCCTGAACCTTCTATCTTACAAACAGGCTAACAAAATGAGAATAATAAATAAAAAAAAAAGGTATTCTAAGCCTCATTCAACTTGGTTCTTACTGAATTTTTCCATTCACTTGGCCTCACTCTGATCGGGAGTTAGTACAACAGTTCTGGAAGTGCAATGTAAGGATAGCATATCCAGTGAGGAAGCTCAAGGTATGATTATGTGTACACTTGAAGTAATAATTGGTAAAGTTTGTAAACAAACTGGCAGGACACTCTGTAAGCACAGTACAGCCTATCAACTATCATAAGGATCTTGGCTGAAGAGACATTTCTGGATTTTTTTCCACTAAGGGCAGCACCAGTCCAACCAGAAAAATTCAGAGATCTTGTCATGCACTGTCCAATTATCCGGCATGTCTTTTGATGGCTATTAAAAATGAGGGAAAAGTAGCACTGGCTCAAAGGAAATTACTTTAAACACTGCAAATCTGCTTCAGTTTTCCATCCAATTCTTTCTTTAGGCTGGCAGTGCCATGAATTTAATGAAGGCCTTTTGAGGCAGTGATGGAAGAAGCAGCAAGATTTAGAGGCTTTCACTCTAGAGTTGGCAGACAAAAAAGTGACGGAGTTTTAAGATCACTTGGGGACCCAATATTTCAAAAGGAAGACTAGAAATAGCAGCTTTAAACCCTAGAGCAATGGGATGGCCTAGGATATAACAGTTGGCAAAACGGAAATGAATGGTATATAACCCAGTAAGAAAGACATTACCATGAGTGTTTTATACTTTGACAATTCTCATTAAATAAAGTTAAGTGCTTTCCTATAAACAAAAAGAATGCTCGTAACGTCCTTCTGGCACAAATATTTTCCTATCAAACCCCTGTAAACATGCCATCAAAATTTAGTTTTTACCAGCAGAGTGAGCTCACTAGAAATGCAAGTGATATCAGAAAAACAAATTCATTTGAAAATTTCTAAGTAAATACTTCCTAAACAATATGGCATTTACATCAGTGTGCAATATATTAATTTTGAAAGTGATAACTTTAGCATGAAAGTTACTTACCTGTCATTAAAGTTTTCCATATTGGCCAATACATAAATCCTGATTTTTGGTACTGCATACTTTATCTCTGAAATATTTGAAATGTCATATTCCAAATCAAAGTCAATACACCAAAAAAAGTGTTTAAGTTATAACCAGTCTAACCAAACCCACCTCAGCCACTGAAAATAAATTTAACAGTGTTGCATTTAGTAGTACACAGAGGAGTTTTAAAGCAAAAAAGAAAATATAGGTCACAATAGAAATCTGAGGCACTGCTGTACATGTATAAAGTTAATTCTTAAGACTTATGAATTGCACTGAGTCACGGATAACTGCTTTAGTTTTTTCATTGAGGACAAACATTAAGTAGTTAAGTTTGGGTTGTTTTTTCTTTCTTTCTTTTTTTTTTTTTTTTAATTAATGCTGGAGCTGTAGTCCTTAGGCAAAAACTATGTTTTTTTTCCTAGGTATTACCTTCTACCCTTCTCCCCAGAAAAGGGTTTACAATTTTTTTTAGCTTTAGATTCAACCTTTAAAAAACAGCAAAATGCAGAGTAGATGTAGCTCTGAGTAAATAAGTTGTGTCAAGTTTGAGAACATCTCAAAGAAACTTACATTATACAAACTTTTAAGAAAAAAATCTTGACTTTTACTTAGTTTTATAGCAATGAAGATGTGGTGTTTAACTATTTACAGTACTTCCACTTCAAAAGTGAGATTTATGAACCAAATAGTTAAAACGTAACAAACATCAGATGTTCATTTATGCTGCCTACTGTGGCAATACTCAGATATTACCAGATATTTTTTTTTCTTGAAATGATAATCTACATGCCACAAAAACTTGAGAAGTTTTCACAAAAATAATGGTCTTTTTTGGTGGATAAAATCTGGTAATGTTTTCATAGCTGTATTCCTTTAAAACATTGCAGGCAAACAAAGCTATTGTAGCACAAAGTACTTTTTAACAAAATATTCACCACTTTTAGCTTCATTCAAAATTTAGCTTGCTATACATTGAACAGAAGAAAAGTTTCATCTGTGTTTAAGTGCATTAACAACAGAAGTTAAAACTAATATTTTAATGAAGGTTCAACTGATAGAACAGGTGCTATCAAAAAGCACAAGCTTGTCAATGACCAAATTTGACTAACAAAAGTGACAGTGACATAAAACTGAAGCTGCTTAGAGAAAGCTTGCACAATTTTCCCTAGCTTGACAAAGAATACATAAGTCAAGACCCAGCTAAAATTAGAGTTCCTTGATAGTACTGATTCACAACTTCAAGAGCATAAACTACAGTCAGTAAAGGGCTCACAAATCTGCTCATAAAATGGCTGACACTTTAATAAGAAGTGGTTTTACATTAATGGCAGACCACCACAGAAAAGTATGGAGGAATAAAACACTTTGGTTTAAATTTTTCAGAGGCTCACATTTCTCGTTAGACTTAGAAGCAGCAGCTTTTATAAGCTACTTTTATTGGGAGTGCAGTATTTTGTAGAAAACATTTGAAAGATTATAATTATTTTAGTGATTGACATGTTTTTACTTCCATTTTTACATAAATAGCTTTCACCATATTGTGGTTATGCTTAAGTATAAGAACACTGATCAATAGTTTAGATGCACAGTATTTATTTCTTCTGCTGGAAGGCAACTATACTTAATTGTATCCAAGACACTTCAAATCATTCAGAAATATGGCATGCAGTATCCAAAAGTATGGCTCTGAGGATTTTTTTTTTTACATTAAGCATAAAGAAATTTTATATTCAACATTCATTTATATCTCAAGAAAACTACCTATTCAGAGTTCTAGTTCTTTGATGCAGCATTAAGGATTAAAACTTACCACTTTACCAGGCCTTGCCCATGTGCAAATAAATCCCTCCTGACAAGCAGTGACTATACAGTCTTCAAGAAAAATTAACACAGTCAGTCTTTCATGTGCTATCTTTTTACAGATAAGAGGCTCTAACAAGGGAACATCTTCCATTCTGGGACAGAGAGGTGTTCCCAAAGTTTTAGCTGGGTCCGTTTTGGTTTTAGTAACTAGGTTCAGTTTGTCACTGCTCTTGCTAGATATATGTCCCATGCTATGGTTTCTCTTGTGATCTTTTTCATGGTGTCTTTCCTTCCGATCATGTAGCGATAAGGTTGCAAATTTACTAACACCAGAAGCAATGGCACCATCCATGACACTGCTTTTACTGCCAGCATTTGAGACTGCAGAATGTGGAAGGCTGTTTGACCGTGGAAGAGGAGGGGGTACAGAGTTTCCAGGTGTAGTGATACTGTTTCCATTACTTCCTGGGTTAGTTCCACCACTTCCAGCGGGTGGACTTGTGGCATTCATGACATTTGTATGTGTCCTTGCTCTTGAAAGAGGTTGGTGGGGGAAGAGGATATCTTCTGTAAGATCCCATAAACAGAGCTGCGTGTCCTGGCCTACCGAACCAAATCTATACGTAACACTTACTGGACGACTGTCTGTAGAGTTCCTTTTGGATAGCCTAGATTGCGTACTATTTGCTCGATCTCTGCCAAAATGAAGGTCTTGGAAATCCTCATCACTGCCGCTAAATTCCATCGGGTCACTCTCTTCTACGCTAGTGGTATACGGATCGAATGCAACAACACTGACCCACGATTTATGTCCATGGCCTCTCGCTATTACTCGACAGTCCACAAAAGACCAAACTGTTACCAAGTCATCCTCTCCACCTGTCACTATGTATTTCCCGTCAGGACTCCAACACACACACAGCAGTCCTCCAAAGTAGCTTTTCATTGTACCATGCAATTCCACCGAATCAAAGTTAAACACACGAAGAAAACCATCCTGGCTCACACAGGCCAAGAACTTCCCATCTGGGGAAAAGGCAAATTCATTCAGGGCACCCTCACCTACTGTCCATTTAAGCAGAGGGTTTCTTGTGGATTTACTCTTGCAAGTGTGAACTGCAAAACTTTCTCCTTGTTTAAGTAGCTGGTAGTGCGGGGCTGTGGTACCACAAGTGTGCTCCACGTTATATAAGTACATATTGCCACTGGAATGAGCTACTAGGAAAAGGCTTTCCGAACCTGGTACCCATTTTACACAGGTTACTCTGGACTTGTCTATTAGTCTCTGTGAAAAACAAAGAAGATACACATCAGAAAGTCTGAAAATTAAAGTTTTAATGATTAACTGTAAATCTGAGCTTTTGAGGGAGAAGGGGAACAAAGCTTAAGCAAAGCGAATTCAACTTTCTGGAAAGGAGCTATGTTACTATTCGCAAACACTCAATCTCATAAGGCACTTAACAGGAAATTATATTCAGAGAAAGTGCTATCAAAGGTCATTATGGTCCAGTCACATTCTGAAGAGCATACTTTGATCAAGCCGATCTGTTGCTATGAATCTCAACGCAATGCTCTTAAGTTTACATTCTGCTGAGGATGTTAAAGTATGAAAAAAAATAATCAAGGAACACAAACTGAACTAAAGGGAAAAAAGGCTGTTACTCATCTGTGTGACAAGTTATAAATCAGCAACAGTTAAATTTAAACTGGTTTTATCTGAAATGGCTATAAAAATCAGCATCTGAAAGAAAAAGAGACATCTTAGGAGCCTTTACCAGCTCACTGATTCAGGCAGCAAACGTTATGCTGTGCCCCTGTTAACATGTGGTTGGACAGTTAATAGCTAAACACATGTAAATCAGCAAATTTGGAAGGCACCACATCCTCTTCACCTTGGAAACCCCACCCTGCAATTACTTTTCATTCATTACTCTCAGTTACCATCTGATTAAGAAGTTTCCTTTAAATAAAAACAATTTAATGGAGTCCATCATTACCAAACAATGAACACACGTTAAACAAACATCCCTAGTTAAAATGTCTTCAGTACTGTAAAAACTGAGAAGTAGAGATAAAGTCCATAAACTCAAGGGGTCAACTGTTCTTCTGGTGGATTTCTAAATCTACCAATTCAGCCATTGCATCACTCAACTGCAACTTAGAGACAAAAAAATTCTTTAAATGCAAATTCAAGATTTGTATTTGGCACAGATTGATTACAGGCTGAAAGTAGAACTGGGCTATACAAAAGGCAAGAATGCAAATACAGCGTGCCTCAGGAAATACCAGAGCAAGTTACAGAAGAACATAGAAAAAAAAAAAAAAAACAAAAAATGCTTTGCTATGCTGTTTTTCACAAAGAAAAAAAATAGCTAATGGATAACACTGACTCTTACCCATTCTGGGCCTGTAACTATCAAAAGCATCACCTGGTCATTACTCTTGAACGTATTTTTGCTACTGTGAAATTCAGTATAAGGACCAGGAAACCTCTCTTGTGTAACTTCTTATTTTCTATTTGAGAGTGAACTTTTCCTCTAACAAGGTAGCTTTACAAATAGCATCTTAGATTCTGTTGTGGCATTTTAAATAATTTGTCACATATTCATTAATACGTATCATTCATATCTGGTAAAAATGATACCAGAAATGTTAGTCAGAAAGTTACTTCGTACATACCAAGAGAAAAATATAGAGGTCAGACTAGCTTTCTTGCTAGAGGCAATAGTCTTGTTATGAAGCCATCACTAATACAGCACAAAGTGAGATTTCTTGCTCTACTGTACTAGAGCAGCTTAACCTGACAAACCACATATTCACAGAAGCAGCAACTCAACTTTTATACTAGAAAACTCTGCCTTTCAAGTCCCTATTCTCTTCTACATCAACAGAGTTTTAAAAAGTAACAAGTTAAAATGCAATAGCCTTAATTTAGTCAAGCTTCGACACAACCTGTGTCATAAGATGAAGCCATTTCACATATCACATACAATTAAGTGCTATCCTTATTGCTTTATCATAGGTGATAATCAGAACACACCTTTGGGCTACCTAAATCACTAAATTACTAACAGGACAAGTGGTGAACGCTACCATCTCTATTATTCTAGCACGAGTGCTAAATCTGTCAAAAGATGTAAACACTTATTTAGCCCACCTTTTGCTTATGAAGGTATGTTTATTCTCAAATACTTTCTAAAAATCTAAATATATCCAAAAAACATTTTCTTGAAGCAAAGGTACCAACTCATACATCAATAATTACTAATGTTTCTCTTAAATGGGCTTCAGATACAAACTAATATTTCTAAACATGCCCAGAGTCAGTTTCACTATTGTAACTGACAGGCCAAAACCACAGCAGTTTCAGAATTGGTTATAACTGCAGATAAGATCTGTGTAGGAAACAGGGATTTTGTCTTTTAACTTTACCCTACATGTGGGTAAGTTCTGGTAACACTACACAAACCCATATGCTAGCTTTGTATAAAGGAGCTCATCTCATTTCAATTCCACCAAACAGGAAGAAGATACATCTCCATCGCAATGAGGCAATACTGGTGGCAAGAGAGGAAAGAGTATTTTTTTAATGTCATGTCGTCCTCAGTGCTTCCATCACTTGTGGAATACCACAAGAACTATTCTGCCTGAAATGCAGCTTTATGCTGTAGAAGCTAGACAGTAAACATCGTGACACGTAAATAGGCATCAGACCTTTGTGTGAAGTATTTTAGCACACGTTTTTCTCAAGGCAACTACAGGTCAGCTACTGGAGTGGGAACTGCTCTGCAATAGGAAGTTCTAGCTATTCATAGCTTCCCGCTGCCATTTTTAATACTTATGCTACTACCATACAAGATTAAATCTTGTTTACATGAGTAACTTGGCACATCTGGATTAGCACTCCCAGTGGTGCACCAATGCCAAAGTTTGGTTTTCTGGGAAGTTTTTTAATGGATGATGCTAGAAGGAAAATTTTAACTACATATACAGTGGTTTCTACCAAAAAGAGTATTCCATGCAGCATTAGGAGGCTCTCCAGCACTGTTTCCCATTCAACACAAGCAGGGAGACAGAACAGGTGGGAAAAGGCTGGTAACAAAGAAGTACGCCCCTCTTCTGATCTGGTTGTAGCTACTTTTAGAAAGCTGAGGAGGAGTCAGTTCTAATTATAAAACATCCCCATTGAGAACAATACTTCAATCTTCTTTGCACAAAGACAGAGCAAGAAAACACATGTCCCTGAGGTGGGAAAGATATGCTTGCTTAGTTTGAAAGCTGAGCAAGGCTTAACTTCATCTGCAAAGCTCTTGTCCAGATTTCAAGTCTTTTTTTTAAAAAAAAAAAAACAAAAAAAAACTGCAGAGCTCTTTCTTACCTCATGATTTACCTGCAGTATTAAAACACAAAAAGCAGCAAAAACAAATGAAAAAACAAGCCAAGTACCTCTGGCTTATCCTCTGCAGAAAAAGCTGTCCAAGTTTTATCAGTTACCAGATCTCTTCCACTGTTAATATCCAAACACTTACCTTTCTAAGAATACCAGTATTACCAGATAACCAGAGCCAGTGGTTTTGTAACTTGGCATGAGTCCCCCTCATAGTACTCCCTCTATTTTTTACCTATTGCTTGAAGAGAGAATTCTTTTTCGGGAGTATCACATGGTCGATACTTTGTGAGCCTTTAGCTTTTCTCATGCAGCATTCAGCTTGAGATCCTAGTCTTCCCTGAAAAAGCCTTTAGGAATCCTTGATACAGACCGTTTCTGCTGTAATACCCCGACCATAAAAAAGTGATATTTTTACTTTAATTATTTAATATTTTGACTGTAATATATTAAATAGGGACTCAAATATTTTCTTCCCTGTTTGGAACCAGAAGCCTCCAAAACAATTGACTGCAGAGAACATGCAGCAGCATTTTGATTTGTAGATGTTTTTTCCATCTGTTAACTGTCATTAGTTCTAGTTGCAGTACTACCCAAACTAAGAAGTCCTATTTTTTTCTTTTGCCTTTAACCCCAAAAGCTTCCTTATGAATAATATTTTTGTGTAAGTATTCTAAACCAATGAAGGAGCTGAAAACAAAAGGTAGTGACTGAACGATGAGCTGTATAGGCAACCAAAGCCATCTACGGAACTTTGAGGATTTTTAGTACCAAAAATACATTGCATGCAACAATGTTAAGATTTCTACTTACTTCCTCATTAAATAATTTGCTAGTTTCTTTTTTAATAGGGTCTATAAGTTGGACCTGGCCTGCTGAGAAGCCCACTAGAAGAGAAACACTTTCTGCTGTGGCTGTTAAGTGATTGAAGTCATGGCATGTAGGTTGTGTTCCTTTGTATATCCTTTTGTCTATTGGTTTACTCAAGTCCGCAGCCTGCAAAAAGAGCAAACAGAATTTAAAAAGTTTATCACAATGTATACACATACAAGTTTAGCTTGCAAAAGAGCTTATACTAAGCAACGATTTATGCAGTCACAAAACCATACTTTAAAATACAGCTCTGTATTTATTGAAGACCTCAAATATGTCTTCAACAGGTTTAGCTTTTAATATAACATCACACTTCCACATTTTCCAGTTTTGCTAAATGCTCCACCTTTGCAACTACATCATGTGACAAACCAGTGACAACTGTTCAGTAACACAAAGGTTCCAGTGAGTCCTCAAGATCAACCTGTTTCCTGGGTTCTCCTGCCAGAAGCAGCATCCCATCACATTGACAAGACATCTTCCATTTCCCTAGCAGCAGTTTTCTCAAAATGAAGTACAACTAGTTTTGGCAGTGGACTAAAAATAGCGTATCTTGGTCCTTGTACTGTAAATGCATCATTTTATAACAGGCAAAAATGTGATACCATTATCAATATTAAAAAATGATCAACTAGATCCAGAGAGATTTCTAGGAACACTGACTCAGAATGTTGATATTATGCTTATAAAATATTTTTAAGGCGATTAGGTTACAAAATAATTGTGCTTCTGACATTGATTTTATTAAACGTGAAAATACTTTGCACCATCTATAATCAAGGATGACTTCTATGGATCAATATATCATCTGAATTTACTGAACAATCCAAATACAGCTTAGACAAAGTAAGTGCTAGCAAAACAGAAGAACTTTTATATAAACAACTGAAGATCTGGCACTTAAGTGTCAGAAGAATCAAAAAAACAGAAAAGCAATTTAAAATGCTCTCTCAGTTGTGTAACCCATGTTTATCCCCGTATCACTTCTGAACAGACACCCTAATCTATCATCATCCAGAGATTATAACCCACACATTTAACATGCGTGATCATACATCAGGTTCAACCTTTCTTTTTAACTCCCTATTTACTAGGTTCGGAGTCTGTAATTAGAAAGCTGCAGTTACTCAATAATATTACAGGCTCAAGATGCAGCTGTGATTTGGGACTTGGATTCTAGTTTTGATATCTACTTTTACGGTATTTTTAGTCAAGGGAAATCAGGGCAGCAATATAGGAAATAAAACTTGTTTGAGGAAGTGGACAAGCTCCATATAAAAGAAAATTGCTCCAGTGTATTAAACCTGAGTACAACATTTGAAGAGCAGCAAATCCATAGCATGCATGGAGCTGTACTGTGGGAAACCAGACCTGCCTGTAAGTAGAGCAAAACCGTGACTAGCTACACAGTGATTCACATCAGGTGAGCCATTTCCAAGGCAAATTTAACTACGGGATACACGTGATAAGCATATGTATATGCAGCAGTACTGAAGTTACACTCTGCTTTGCAGCATATATTATAAACCAGTTTAGTCAGGTGTATGGCCTTCTGGTTGAAGGCTCCGAAAGGAGACAATGTATTCCAACTTCTAAAGTCAGCATATTAAAAAAGTTATTCTCCAGAGCCCAGAGAACCATTATAAGCTAAAAAAGAATATTAGTAATACCTCTTCAAGGAGAACTTAAATAGAATGCTAGCTCTACTGGGATCATAGGATAAGGTGCATGGCTACCAAGGGGCATCCACAGACACATGTAAATCTGTAACTTGAAGCTGGAATGATCAAACCCTAGAGGCCATGTGGTTGGATCCCTTATATCGTGCAAGATTCCCTTGTCCTAAAATAATACAATATATGTGGTATCAAGAGGTAACTCCCTAAATGGAGAAAAATGTTTCCAATGGAAGACTGTTTTACAGTAACTATAGATGCATCCCTCCATACCTCAAAGAAATGCTCTCTCGTCTCACAGGGTATGGCCCCTGGACAAGAGTTTCAGCAGAACCAAGTGCCTCAGAAAGGAGATCCCTTTCAAAATAAACAGAGCTCAGCCTGAATCACGCTGAGGGATCAGAGAATGGCTGGCTCGTTCAGCAGTGGAAAACATGAGCATTCCCAGGGCTGTCATCTTTTGAATCCCTACTATTCTTTTAAGTGGCACAGAAGGTCGAGAGGTAGCTATTTTCAGATTGAAATTACACTTTGCTCTTTTGTCTGGTCACGATGTTTTTTTTTTAGTTTTGTTTCAACATTCACTATATTTTTGGTAGTCTGAAAAACTTGCTGTGGCTGAAGTCTTCTGAAATTGTGTGATAACAGATCTAGCAAGACATGAAATTCTGATAAATGAAATCTAGGCACAAGACTTCACTGTGCTTGTTCTAGCTGCTCTCGGGGAACCAGATGGCACGGACAATCTGTCTGAACTTCAATGGAGTATAAGTAAATTAATTCAATTACCAGAATTACCAGAAGCTAGGCTTCTACTGAGAGGGATGCTCTGCCTTTTATTTACATGCAGCTAGTGTTTTCAGTTGTGATTACGATACAGTTGTCTCATGGAGATAAGTCAGGCACAAAAACACTTTTTTGGTCTTGTTCTCACTTCACTGAAAGACAGGATAGAATCAATGATCATAAGAACCAAAAGCCATTTTCTCTATTTCTGCACATTTGAAAGTTGCTATTGGATTTTTGATAAGAACAAGAAAAGCCCTTACTCATAAAATTCAATAGGGCCTGTGACTCAGCATTTCATTAGCATACCATGAAGGCCATTTGCTGTAGCTGTACTGTGAAGGATCTGATTCTCAGAAACGAGATTTTCCATGAGATCTTAGGATCTGACACTATTTACTCAACAAGGCGATGTGAACTGCCACTATCAGAAAAATGCTGATGTACTTGGGAAGGGAACTGAAAGATGCTGGGATTAAGTGTTACTGAACACGGCAGCTACAAGCACGGGGTAAGGCACCCTTGGCTATGCCTGAGCTGCTAGCAAGTTATTTGCATGTTTTTGGTCCCAGTTCTTCTCAATTTTTCTTCTGAAAAAATACTTAACAGTATTCCAGCCTGTCCACTTTGAGGAACGTATTCCATGATGGATGATTCATGATGACAGCACCACTCTGTAATTAGAACTTATGTTTAGTCTTGACTGAAACAGGTTGGAGCACCTAATGCAAGGGTAAGAATCAATCCTCCCTTTGAATGAAATCACTGTGCAAGCCATCAAAGCGCATCTTCACTAATCAAGCCTCTGTAATAGCACTTGGGCCAACCGATACCTGCACTGGAAGCCTCTCCTTTTCAACATGCACTGATATTTCAAGTACTCCTTGAGCAAAAGAACAAGAAATAATGGGTATCAGGCAACAAGAGCAAGACGAATTTCACTCAACAGTTGTCTGAAGTCAGTGATGCAGCTGAACAAAATTGGCGTACCTGGGGCACCAACAGTTTGAGTCCTGTCCTTGAACAGATTCAAAGTCTCTAAAATCTTACGCTTACAAGCAGAAGAAAAATTGACTAACACAGCCATTCAGTTCTTTGTGAGGAATTGTCTAGAAATAAAACATGAATCACATAGTGGTCCTGGGGACTTTCCAGTCCCATTTAGTTAACTCACATCGTGCAATTTTAGCCATGTTACCCTCACTCTGCTGGGGAAGGAAAAGGAAGGGGAAAAAATAAATATATAATAAAAGTATGTGCGTACGTGTACATAATTTGCCCATTCACCCTGAATCAAGATTTCAGTAGGAAGGTGGTCAAGTGGAACATCTTAACCACAGCTTTAGATACCTAAATAATAGGAACAGAAAGAAAAAAAAAAAATCAGTTACCTCAACCTGAAGCAAATATTGAAAATTTCATATTCCAACATTTGAAATGTCTTATTAGGATGGGCATCAACAACCTTGGTTCCTTATCCTTATGCAACTCTAAGGTCAAAGACAGATTAATTTCTGTCCAAGATTTATTCTTTTGATGTACTATTGATCTAAGACTCAGCTTTCATGCTACAATTTCACAAATAGTGAATCACATTATTTCAACTCAGCATTTAATCATGCTCCTTGACAGACGTGAGTTCTTCCTCTATCATCTTCTTTTCCTAACTTACATCTGCAGCTTTCTGCAAATTTTAGTTATTGAAATCTATAATAGATGCTACATTTCCTGCCAAACTAAACAAACATCTCCCAGATCAGAAAGGGAAGGCGTTATTTATTAATTTCTCTCAGATAATTTCAACAGTAGCCATTAAAATGTTTCCTTTAGAGACTTAATAGTATTTAATATAAGATTTGCCAGGCTGGCTTTCAGTTGGTCATATGGGTAAGAGAGTTTGAGACAGAATATTAGGTCTTTAAGCCTGGAAGTAAGAGCAAACATTTAATAAAAAATTCACTTCCAAAAATCCTCTTAAGAGAATCCCCCCTAGTACAAAGAATTAACTGATCTTGAACTGCAGATTACAGGTTGGCTACGCATGCACAGCTACAGCACCAACACAAGACGACAAAATACTAAGAGTCACTTTTGAAAACAATTTTTCCAGCATTTCTGGAGCTTGGAATTCACAAAAGTACCTGCAGCTTGTATCTCTTCAACACCTTGCTGATAAGGGATTTCATGCTCCCTGCTCTATAACCATCATAACTGGAGAAAACTCTGCTTGTTACAGTGCTATACAAGCAACTACAGAAATCAACCCTTACAACTGTTGCTAAGTGGACTTTGTTGAATTTCACAGATGCTCTTTAAAGTCCTAACCGAGAAATAGGCTTTGCTGCAGCACTGTGCCTTACAGGATCCCCTACAGTACATCCTTCCCCCATGCACGTGCTGCTCTCCCTCTCCTTCCTACAGGGCCAAAGGACAGCAAAAGCCGTGCAACACAGCTGACTCACGGCAAGAAGGTGCTGTTATTTCAGGCACTTGTGTAGTTTCCTGGGGAACTCTGTCCCCTGCCTCTGTACACAAGGGTTTTTGCCAAAAATACTACCTTCGGGACTTCACGCTGGAAATCCCTCTAATTCCCTCAGTATCAAAGGAGTAGATTTTTGAAATATTTTTCTGGAGCCCAGCACTGTTAATACCAACAACAGA